TTTGGCGATGAAATCTGTTGGATGGTTTTATTCTAATCTCCTTACTCAATACACGGAAACAGTCAATTGGGACAGAAAGGAACAGCATCAAACACGGTCACTGGGGATATCTCAAGTCAGGATTATAATTGCAATTGCCAATGCTTGAAACCAACCAGGAATGCATTTCAATTTATTTCAATCAAAGCACGATTAGGGTATGCTTTTATATTTCTAAACCGCCTACTTGTACCAGACTTCCAAACATCTGCAAGTCAAATCATGTAAAGTGGGCTTGAAAGTAGGCATCGTCCAATACACATCAATACACAAAATACCCTCGTAATCAAACGTGGCTGGCTGGAAAATCCTCATAATCCTCTATAAATGAAAGTTGTGGACTATAAAATCCTCATAATCCTCTATAAAATCCTCAATCCTCATAATCCTCGAAAAAGTTCCATCAACAAAAAAGTTTGTGGAAGAGTTCGTGAAGGCCAACCTTTGCACATCCCCGGAGATAACCAGCGGCGCTCCACAGATTCCATACCATCGGCGTAGAGGTTTGCGACGCAGCTGTTGGGACGCTCAACACCTGCCGCACGACTGAGGGGGTCGCTGAAAGATGCCAGAAGCCCCATGATTTTTTTGGGTAAAAACCTGCTTTTTTTGCTGTTGAACCCAGGGTAAATTCGAACTTTTAAGGTGGTGCAGGTTAAATTTGATAGTGATTTAGATTATGTCCAAAGATTTGGATTTTATGTCCAGAGAAATATACGTGCCAATGCCCTGGCTATAGTAGCTGCATTTTGATAATGGCGAAAATCAATTTCTTCAAAGTTCTCCTGTATACGTGAACACTGTTTGTTGTTGGCAACTTGGAAAAGATTCAAACTTCAACTGGTTGGTGGTTTTTACTTCCCTGAAAATATGAAAGTCAGATTGGATCATCATCCCAACTATTATGGAAAAAAATGTTCCAAACCACCAACCAGTTAAAATCTTATCCCCGTTTGGGGATGGTGTCCAAGAACTCTCCATTGAGGTGACTCGTTTGGTGCAGCCCGCCAGTGCATCATTTGACATTTCTACCGTAGGAATCCCGCGCTGCTTGGTAACGTTGTCATCAAAATATGTTGTGCATGTTTTTTCTATGAATCACAAACATTGACAAACATGAAATGCACATTACATATTTAAGACTATTCTCTCCCTATGAAGTAGCATCTATGGTGAGGTCGTCATGAGGTCGTTATACTCTCATGTATGGCCATCTGAAGAGGGAAAATGCTTGTCAACCACTAAATCCTTGGATACCGTTCAAACGAACCCAAATTCGATGTTTGAATCATAGAAATGGATTATGGGAAAATTTACTGGTTTAAGCCCTATATTTGATGGTAAAAACCAATGGTTTCCTGTATTTTTTCCCTTAAACCAATCCAGTGATTGAAAGGTTCCACGTTTAGCATTTAATATGCTTAAAATGAAGGGTTTGATCATCAATCCTCAAAATCCACCGGTAAATCTGAGCAAGACTGGCTATAGGTGGTGCCTACGAGTTTTCTAAGTTGGTTACCCTCTCGTAAACATACAAAAAACTATGGAAAATCACAATGTTTAATGGGGAAATCCACTATAAATGGCCATGTTCAATGGCTATGTTAGTTTACCAGAGGGTACTAACACTCCAAAAACTAGGAGTGTATGATGTTTATGGTAGAGATCTCTATAGATTCAGTAGCTAATGTTGGTTATGTTTCCCAACAAACACAACTGCGTCCACCACCTGTTGTGCACAAAGCATGCCAAACTGCATCTTCTACCTGGGATGGCGCAGGGCATCTCTGGGGGATGTTTGGTGATTTACCATCTGGTAAACTAGCATAGCCTGCAGCATAGCTATTGAACATCATGATTTATAGTTGTTTTATGTTGATTTACCTATTGAAAAGATGTGATTTTCCTATATACTGCGAAAAATGGAGATATGCCATGGGATTTGGCCTGGCGAGCAGAACACATTATGTATTTGGGAATTTGATGGGATATACCCTCTGGTACTGTAACATAGCCTAGGTAACAAAAATAACCCATGTGTAGATGATTCATTTATTCAACATGATAAAAACTGCTCGAGGGTCTTTCGACGACTTGATATCATATTTGGATGTGACGTGAACATGCAGACATTATCCCCAAAAATTGCTAGTGGATGATAAGGGAAATGGTGATAAACCAGCAAATGGAATGGCTTGAGATCCAAATGTATGTTGGTTTCTAGATGTTCTCCTTTCTGTCGGGCAATAAACGCATGGCATGTCATGTCCTACATTTTAGCTGCTTCGGTCTGAAACCTTGATGGTTTCTTTTTCATATTTGGTTGGATAATACCCATTGATGTTTTTTGTTGCTAGTTTGGATAGTGCCATGTATGATCCCCAGAAAACAAGTCGAAATATCATGTGTTTCGTGGAGAACAGCACAATACTAGTTGCAAAATACCAAAAAATGAAGCACCCAATTTACACCTCATTTTGCAGATACCCTCTGGTAATTCAGCATTGCTTTTGAAACAAAAACACTTTAATAGGTAAGTCATCTGTAGGTGGGCCGTTTCAATAGCTACCTTAGATCACTCAAGAATAATAATCCATACATATTGTCGTTTCGCACCAATTTTGTGGGTGCCGTGGGTGCACCCTCCCTGGCTGAGTAAGCCACCCCTCACCTCTGAAAGCCAGTCAGGCACTTCTACAGCTGGCCTTCAGCAAAGAAAAATGCAGTGGTCATTGTTACTTCAAGAAGAATTACCCAAATCTTAATTGTGGGGTGTAAAATATCAACATATAATATATATATATACTAACAAAAGGTGCTGGGGATGTGTGAAATTTAAGATGTTCTTGAACAGTTCAAGTAAGTACAAATTGTTATAGTTGAATTATGTAAAGAAAAGGATGCCTATAAATACACCCGGACTAAAAATGGGAATCTAATATGTGGTTATACTAAAAAATCAGTGTATATATATATATATATGCATATGTATATATATATATATATATTTAATGAGCCCTTACATGGAACCCCAAATGAACAGATTCACCTCTAGACCTTTCTCTTGGGACATTGCTAGTCATTGCTACCTGGTCCGTGGTTTCAATGTGTCTTCAGGTGCCACTTGTGGCCACAAGACGGCGACCCCCAGTTCGAAGTTGGCTAAGAAAACCCCTGTACCTATAGTTGTATCTACCATAAACCATAGTCAACCTAGTTATAAACCATATCTTAAACCCTATAGTTATTGGAGTTATAAACCATTATAAACCCATCACATGGATCCCCACCATTCGATTAAGTGCATTTCCAGGTTCCAACACCGACTCCAAAACTGTGCGCCCAACCATGCAGTCGCATTGTACTCGTAGGAGCAGCTGCAGCCTTTTCGCACAAACCTGAGATTTGAAGCTTGGAAATCCCTTGCCCCCAGCAACAAACACTATTCTGTAATTAATCCAGGACCCAAAAATGAACAGACAGAGTATACTCAACCAGGGTTGCGGGCGGGGTTTTCCTCTGTATTGTCACTGGGGAGTAGATTGCTGGTAAATGATGGTAAATGGATATCAATCGCCAGTTCTCAATCACAAAAAAGTGGATCTGTTTGAACGAAAAAATCACTGACCACCTACAGGATGGGCCCCAGTTATAAGTTGGTTTATAAACCATGAAATAAACCCCAGTAACTATAGTTGTATCTACCATAACCATAGTTTTCAGCCACTTTTCTGTTCGGCGTTTCGGTTCACGCGAGCTCGACTGGGTGCCAACACCAAGCTGCAGAACGTGGCAATAATCGGCCATTGGGTAACCTCAGCCGCAACAAATCGCGAGATCGTGATGTTTCTATCAACATGGATGTATGGATATGTAATATGTGTATCAGTTATCATGTATATATATATATATCATATCATATATATATATATATATATTCATACACGAGATGCATACACTGAAAATGAGCAAGCATGTATGTATAGACATATACTGTATAATGATTCGATGTATAATGTGAACTTTCATATCCACATGCATGTAGATTAAAGCTGATACTTGGGCCACACAGAATGCGGAGGGCTAATTAAACGTCTTGCCACCAGCTCATGAGCTGAAACACACCAAACGCTTGGTGACTATGTATGTGTCGATCTTGATGCGGTACTTACTGTACTGCAAATATTGACATCAGAAACATGAGATTTGGCTTGGTGATTTCAAACCCTGACATGTTTTGTTTCGAAGTTTGGAACAAACTAATTACTCTACTCTGCAATGTGAGCATCGTCTGTCTCCATAGGCAAACTCTGCCTATAAAAGTTCGTTGCATGTAAAGTCAATGCTTCCCACAGTCTTTCTAGATACGTGGCTCACTAAGACTGATTCCCTTGGCCGCACCCAAAGTGACCTGTACCAATCTTTACCAACAATTCGTTCAACAAAAAAGGCAGAGCAAATTGTTTTGTGATACTTTCAAATAATATCAGCCATCAAAATCGGTTGTTTTGTGTACTAAGTTCCAGTCATATGTCCATCAAGATCCGGTTCTCTATATCAACCACAAAAATTAGCCATCAACTCATCGGATATCAACTATTCACATCTACTAACCAACTAAAATCAGTTGTTTTGAACCATCAACATCCTGGTTGGTGGTTTTAACCATCTTGAAAAATATGAAAGTCGATGGGAAGGATTATCCCATATATTATGGAAAATAAAAAATGTTTGTGTGGTGACGGAAATACCACTACACTTTTTTGTAACCCCGTTTTCCTTTTTTCAAATGGAATTGGAAGCTGAAGCGCTTCATGGTCCTTAGGGATACAGAGAAGATTAGCATGGCACCTGGCAACTGACTGCCAAACGTGATGTATGGCTCAAGAAAAGAGCTTTGCTTCAGGTGCAGGGCTCCCCGGTTGCTCAGGTTATGAGCCCAACTTGACCCGGGTGTTGCCATGCTGTCCACCATGCGGCGCCGAAATTCGAGGCCGAGGGAGGGGGACACGCAACATGGAGCACCTCAACGTGAAGATCAAGCTCGCGGTCCCCCTCCCCGGCGTGGTGAAGAACGTCTGGAAGTTGGTGCAGCCGATAGAAGGTTGGATGCGCTGATAGAGGAGGAAAGGGGTCGAGCTGTTTCCCTTCCAGCTGGGCCAGGTGTGAAGCGGTTGGAAGTGGCAGGAGGGAGAGCTCAGTCGAGCCAACTGATGGGGCAGCTGCAGGGTCCAGTGATGGGACCACAGCCAGTGCCAGATGCGCTGAGTGACCCCAGGGCAGAGGCGATGGGATTGGGAGCTCTTCAAGATGCGGTTCGGCATTCTTTTGGACTATTGCAACAAGCACTTGGACGTCCAGTTCCTCAGCAAGGTCTACTTGGTCCTCTTCTTGGGGGAAGCGATTCTGGAGCCAGACAAGGAGTCGTTCCTAACACCGGAGGGGGTCCATTGCTTTTTGCATCGCCTGGCGCTGTGCAGGGTTCTCGTGGTGCAGAAGGGGAACGTTCAGGACATCTTGATGGCCGTGTTGCAAGTGGTTCAGGACGGAATGATGGTTTGAAGACGCCTGGAAGTGGGCAGCCTGACAGGCACGGAGTGGAGCCTCGGGTTCTTGATCCCTATGGAACTCCAGCTCAAGGGGCCAGTCAGGGAGTGAATCCTTTTTGGAGTGATGGGGTGCAGCGTGCAGTTCACAGCCAAGGTGATCACGGTGCAGCCAGCGGCAACAATGGTGTGCAGAGCTTCGATGCAGAGGTCGAGAAGCTCAAAGCGAAGTGCTTGCGTGAAGCCGAAGAAGCTTTTGCAAGGGAGGTCAAGAAGCTTGGAGTGGCCGAGAAGACCGAGGCGGAGTCCTATCACACTGCTTCCAGTTCACAGGGCATGCAGAAGGTGCCAAATGGAAGTGGAGGTGCTCCTGCAGATGGTCGAGCTCGAGGCGCACCTCAAGGTCCAGAACCTCCACCAGGATTGACTTCAGTTCGGATTGGTTTTGATGGGACGGTGGGTCCAACTGTTTCAGAATCTCTTCGTCACCTTGAACTTCCTGCTTTGCCTGTGGTGGGATCGGATGGTGCTGCCCTCCAATTTGGAGATTGGATGACGATGGCCTTCCCCTTGATGTCTGACTTGGGCATTTCAGCGAAGGGCTGGTGGGAGAGATCAGTGGCAGCTGCAGAGGATTTTTATGGAAGGTGGTTGGAATCCACTCCGCTGGAGCGCTTGAGGTTGAAGCCGCAGGTGGAGGTGGACCCAGGGTACATGAGGTTGGAACAGCGAGGGATTGCGATGTTGCTGAGCATCCTTCCTGAAGCTCTTCGACGCGACATTGTGGGAGCTCGCAACGTGTCCACGGTTGCCATCCTCTACAGGCTCTTTGTGGTTTTCCAGCCGGGTGGTGGTGCAGAAAGGACATCACTTCTGAAGTCCCTGACGGAGATCCGAATTGGCACAACGATTCATGACGTGCTTGGGACGATTCGCCTTTGGAGGAGGTGGGTGTCCAGAGCTTTGGAGCTGAAGGTGGCGATCCCGGACCCCTTGATTTTGATGCAGGTCCTTGGACGGATGTCGGACGCTGTGGGGAAACAAGGAGGTGCACAGGTAGCCTACAGACTGGCGTCGGTTCGCCAGGAGCTTCAAGTTGATCAAAGACTTCTACTCCATGCTGTTCAGGAGTATGCGGAGTTCTTGCAGGCGGAGGCAGAGGATTTGAGTTTGATGTTGGCTGGGCCGAAACCTTCATCCACGACGGTGCCACCAACGAGCTCTTCGACAGGAGCTGCTGCTCCAGCTGCGGTGAAGGCAGTTGCTTTGGGTGGAAGTGGTTTGGATGAAAAGGGGAAGCCAGTTTGCAAGTTTTGGGGTACCACTGGTGGCTGCCGACGTGGTGAGTCATGCACGTACTCTCACAGCTGGGACGGCATCAACAAGGATGGACGATGCTATGGATGTTCAGCGGAAGGGCACATGAAGAAAGATTGCCCCTATCGGCAGAAGGATGGAGGTTCTCGAAGGACACCAAAGGTCTCAAAGGTCAAGGGCGGTTCCAAAGAGAAGGATTCACCTGAGAAGGCCAAGGACGACGTGGTGGTTGGGAATGGCTCCGAAACTTCTTCACTGCCGAGCCCTATGTCCTTGAAGACAACTACACCATCAGCGGAGGAGACGAGGAGCCAGAGTGCAGGGAGTCAGAGCTCTGACGCCACTTCCTCGCTGATTGACGAGGCGACAGTGCTGTTGAAGACCCTTCGATCAATGAAGTCGATGAAGGTCAAGCAGATCAACTACAGCCCATGTGAGGATCATCAACTGGTCGCACTTTTGGATGGAGGGGCGACTCATGGCTTGCGGACAGCTGAGGTTTGGGAAAGGAAGGATTTGGAACCTGTGCAGGTGGAGCTTGCTTCGGGGTCGACATGGTTGTATCGCCACAGAAGCCACCGCACGCTGCTCAGCTTGGAGGATGTGGAGCCGATTGTGCCGCTTCACCGACTTGTGGCGATGGGCTTCAAGATTGAGTGGACGTCGAAAGGTTGCCGGATCTTCCACCCTTCCAGAGGAGTGATTGCTTGTTCTCTTAGAGGTGGATGCCCTATCATGGATTGAGGCGATGCTCTTTTGCTGCTGAAGGAAATGGAGAAGGTTGATGGATCTTCGCTGGATGTGGATGTGAACGAGTTCAAGTGGTGGCAGGAGAATTTCCCGGAGGTGCCTGACCGCATCATCAGGAAGTTGGTGGGCTCAGTTGAACCTTGGGACCCCGCTGCATTGCCCTGGAATCGGCATCAACGCCGGGCACATCAGAAGAAAGGCGTGGCCCTTCATCTTTTTTGTGGCCCCAATGTGAGAAAATGGAAGGACTGCGATGTGGGCGGGTTGGAGTGGCTTTGCGTCGACACTTGCCTTGGTTCGCAGTACGATTTGCACAGGCCTGCAGTGTGGAACTATTTGTGGGGGCTGGCCAACAAGGGCCTCATCAAGCTGATTTTGGGTGGGCCACCTTGTCGGTCTGTTTCACGCCTACGTGATGGGCCTCCTGGACCTCGCCAAGTACGTGGCCGTGGAGCTCAGCGTTATGGCCTTGATGGGTTGGATTCCACAGAGGTTGAACTTGTGGAAAACGACACATGCCTCCTTTTGAAGCAGGTGGGCTTGTGGCTGAAATCGGAGCAGGTGAGGGGAGAGCAGGGCTACGAGACTGGATTCTTGTTTGAAACTCCTCAAGACCCTGAATCCTACCTGCCTGAAGAAGAAGGACGAGAGCTTCCTTCCTTTTTGGAGTTTCCTGAGATCCGAGCTTTGGTGGAGGAGCACAACATGGAGTTGGTGTCCTTTGATCAAGGGCGAACGGGTCATGAAAGGAGAAAACCGACCAGTTTGGTCACGAATCTGCCTGGAATGGGGCAGTTGAATGGTCTTCGAGGAGGTGGATCCACCGAAGGCGTTGGACCAGAGCTTCAGGATCGCATCAGGTGCTCAAAGACATGGGCGGCGTGGTCTCCAGGCTTGGTGGCAGCGATCCAGGAGTCCTTGAAGATCCGTGCACACCTCATCAAGGAGATGGCCGAGAAGATGGAGGTGAAGAAGATGGACATGAGCGCCTGGAAGCGTCATGTGCAGAATCAGCACCGACCCTACAGAAGGGATTGCAGACGGTGCTTGGAGATGATGGGCTCTGATGGACATCACCGTCGCACGGCGGGAGATCGGGCGAGCTATTGCCTGACCATGGACATTGTTGGACCGATGCCGGTTGGTGATGATGTTGGCACTGGCGAGAAGTCCAAGTACATGATGGTGTCCACCATTGCCATTCCTCGCATCCCCTAGATGATCCCAAAGGTCCTGCAGATGTGGAGGAGGATGACACGTTGCCTAAGCTTGAGGCAGAGGAGGATGAGCCGGTGGAGAAAGCGACTGATGACGAGGTCAAAACGTTGAATCAGAAGTGGATGGATCATGTGAAGGACCTGGCAGACCCAGTTGGTGTCCAGAACCTCACCTTGGTTGAGCCCTTGCGGTCCAGACACCGAGAAGATGTCATCAAGGTCGCCTCCAAGCTCTATTGTCGTTACCGGGCGATGGGTGTTGCTCCTTTGAGGATTCACACGGACCGGGAAACCTCCTTTTTGTCAAGACAGTTTCAAGCTTGGTGTCAAAGGATGGGATTGTATCAGACCATGACGGGTGGTGATGAGGGCCCGAGCAACGGGCGAATTGAGAGTGAAGTTCAGCAGGTGAAGAGGCGCTTGCGGCTGTTGGTCAAAGAAAGTGGCCTTGGGGAGAAGTACTGGCCAGGCATTGCGCGGTGGATTGGTCAAGAACGACTTCATGCGCAGTTGCAGGTGGTTGGCGTCCCGGTCAAGCCGTTGTTGCCGATTGGAGCCCAGGTTACAGTCAAGACGAAACGGTGGCATCGAGCAGGCTTTGGTCCTCTGGTTCCCCCTTTTCGCACTATGACGTTGATGGGCCCTTCACCTTTGATGAGCACTGGATACGTTTTGATGGATGGTACCCAGGTACAACATTCCAGGTTGGCTATTCAAACAGACCCAAATGCAGATCGGGCTGTGTTGGAACTTCAAGCTGTGGAAGACCCTGGAAAACCAGACAGACGTCTCCATGGAAAACAGCCACCAGATCCACTACTTCCTCGAGTACCTCAACCAGTTCAACACCCTGATGGTCATCTTTTGGTTGAAGATGTTGCTGATGAAGGTGATGCTGGTTCCGGGGGAGCTGAGGTGGATGCTGCAGCAGTGATGGATGGTGTTTTGGATGAGTATGGAAATCGTGTCCCTCTGTGGGGTGATGACCCTGATGATGATCCAGCCCTTCATGCAATTCGGGCTGGGGGGGAGCAAGCACATGATTTTTGCGGTTTTGCAACAGCAGCAGTTTTGGATTCTTCAGCGCTGTCACAGACGACCTTGCCGAATACCTCTACCTTGTCAAGCACTTCAACGTTATCCAGTCCCTCTTCGTCCTGGACGTGCACATGGGAGGAGATGGAAGCAGTTCACGAAGAAGAGCTGCAGGAGCACTGGGCCTTGAAACAGCTCTGGATGAAGGAGTTGAGGCATGTGGCTATTGGAGAAGATGAAGGTCTTCAACAAGGGCAGTGGCTGGGAGTCTTGATGGAGGACTTGCTGAAAAGAGAAGATGGATTGGAGGAGCAGCATCAGGCCTTGGAGCGACATCGGCTGGCAGCGTTGGTGCAGGCTTCAACGGATGATCCTCAAGAACCTCCACCCACAGTTTTGCAGACGTACACGGTCCCGCTCCAGCAGGTTCGAAAGGAGTTGGAGTTGTGGAAACAGCCTCTTTTGGACGAGTACAAGTCCCTGACGGAGATCACGGGAGCCTTGAAAGTGACCACGGAGGAGGAGCTTCGCAAAGATCCACGGTATCATCAAATGGAGGTAGCTCCTGCGATGCTGGTGCCGACCATCAAGTCTCCTCATGGAAGGCGCCGAGCCAGGATTGTCATTTGTGGCAACCGCATTGAGGCCAAGAACCCGGACAAGCAGCATGAAGGAGATGGTCCTCTTGGTGGTCCTGGCGGTGCTCTGTTTGCCAATTATGCTGGAGGTGCAGATGGTGTGTTGCTGCGGTCGATGCTGAGGAAGGCAGCGGCATAAGAGGTGGCACTGTGCAACGGTGGACGTGCGTACAGCCTTTTTGTTGGCACCCAGGAGAGAAGCTCAATCCACGTTGTTGACTATGAGGCCTCCGAAGGTACTTCAAGAAGCAGGCATAGTTGGTCCAAACGAATGGTGGGAGGTGCGGAATGCCATGTATGGGCTTACTTCAAGCCCTTCCAATTGGACTGACTACAGGAATGGTGTGCTCAAGGGCATCCAGTGGACCTGCAATGGACGCAAGTTGCAGCTGCTGGCAACTCCGGAGCCAAATCTTTTTAAGGTGTTGACGGTGGATGGAAAAGATGATGAAGAGGCATTGGGCTTCCTTGCACTGTATGTGGATGACATGGCGGTTGTGGGGGAGCTGAACATGGTGAACACCCTCTTGGAGCGCATTCAGCAGGAGTGGAAATGTTCAAATCCTGAGTTTGTGGTGGAGGGTGCCTACGTCAAGTTTTGCGGCTTTGAACTGACCAAGCGAGGTGACCAGTTCCTTTCGAGCCAGCAGTCGTATGCACAGGACCTACTGGATCGGCATCCCGGAGTAGCCTGCAGAAGCACTCCGTTTCCTGGAGTTTTGGACGAAGAACCAGAAGATGAGGTGCGCATCCAAGATGTCCGTGCTGCCCAAGGTATTGTTGGTGAACTGCTATGGCTGTCTTGCCGAACCCGACCAGACTTCAGCTATGGGGTGTCGTGGATGGGAAGGATGGTGACGAAAGCTCCACGTCGAGTTTGTCAGTATGGGGAGCATATGCTTGGCTACCTCAAAACCACAGTGAGCATGGCCCTACACTATGGAAGTTGTGAACCTGGCCAAAGAGGTGAATCCGAACTGGCATTCCCCAGATCGACGCTCAGGTTGGAGGTTCATTCAGATGCCTCTTTTGGTCCGGCAGGTGGTCGTGGTCATCAAGGACTGATTGCGATGTATGGCGGCTGTCCCATCCAATGGGAGTCCAAACAGCAGGCCTTTGGAACCCTTTCGACTTCAGAGTCGGAGTTGCTGGGGTACACAGATGCGATGGTTTTGGGCGAATCCGTAACCTCAGTGCTGGACATCCTCGAGGGGAACAAGCTGTCTGAGGAGGGCGACAAGGTGCTCTACGGGGACAACCAGTCAGGTCTTCGTTTGCTTGAGAGCCCGAATGGACCATGGCGAACAGGGCATTTGCGCCTTCGCAGTTTTGTTTTGAGAGAGAGGATGAAATGGGGGTTTTGGAGAGGACGACATGTCCCAGGAGCGGAGCTGGCCTCAGATCTTTTGACCAAGGCTGTCACAGCCAATGCAACCTGGAAGAAGTTCTATGGCTTCATGAACATGTTTTTGGTGGAAAAGGAGCCGGCCGCAGCTAGTGGAATTTCCCCCAAGGTAGCTTGCGTAGTGGTAGGGACCATTGCAGCTTTGGGAGCTGTGGCGTCACAGCCAAATGTGACGAAAATGGCCAAAACGGCCAGCGTGATAGGTTTGGCTGCACTCACAGCCTGGTTGGCGCGGAAGATGGGCCTAGGAGGTCACAAGAACACCGCGAAAAAAGACCCCAACAAGATCCAGTCCAAAGAGACATTGGGACACCTGGCGGCAGTGGCAGAGCTAGGGGCAGCTCGAAACCCTGTCGAAAAAAGATGCCAGAGGGAAAATGAACCCTGGCCTACGAGAAATGGTGTCAGGGAACATGAACCGGCACCAGATCCTGGAGTGAAGGAACATGAACTCACTTCAGTCTACAGTAGCCTTCGAGGCTCCCCAAACGCACGGCTGGGTCGGGGCTCAAGCGCCATGGATGGTGGGCAGCTGAAGGTAGCTGCAGAGCGCTTGGACTCCAGGCGCCATAGTGGGATGCTGGGAGTGGCGCATGAACCTTCTGGTGGGCAGTTGCAGAAGATTGCCATCAGCAACACCTTGGCTCAGTGCTCCGCCGGCCCTCCCGCTTCTTTCGTGACCAGCGCCATGGCTGGTGAGATGCCGCGACTGGCGGCCATGCGGTTCCAGAGGGAGGAGATCGCTTACAACTTCTGGCCGTTGAATGAGGACCAGTTCGCGACCCCTCCTCGAGGTGCAGATCGATGGACGCAGTTGGGGAATGAGTGGTGGGTGAGGTCGCATGGCCAGTGGCGCACCAAGACCTTCCACCCCATTCACACCAACATGCCCTTCGATGCCAGCCAGCTCCACCCTGTCCGGTTCACCTTGATGTTTTGGGACAACGGACAGGAGTGGGCTCATCGTTTTGTACAAGACCGTTGGTGCGATCCTCCTCGAGCACTTCGTGGTGGCGTGAGTGGCCAATGGAAAGGCTACACCTTTGTGCGGCTGCAGCAGCCTGGTCAGCCGCCGAGTACTGCGTCCTCTTGGGGCGATGGGGAGCCGACGCAACGGGTTCATCCAGGACCTGAGATCCAGCGAGCAGAAGGAGTCGCAGCCACCACGGCTGGCCATGGAACTGGGTCAAAGGGAGGAAGGCATGGAAAGGGTGTGGCAGACCGTGGGCGCATTGTGGCGGGCGATATGCTGCAGCGCCGGCCGCCATATCCTGGCACTCCTGGAGGAGCCGCTCATGAAAACCTTGGACCTTCGGGAGTATATGCAGGCGGCGATCAACGTGGACGAGGTCGCCATGGGCCGGTGAGCATCTCCTCCTACAGCGAGGTGCCTGAGCTCTCGGAGAGTGAAAGCCGAGAGAATGATCCCCCGGTCAACGCGCAGCCTGTGGTGCAGCCGTTGCCGGCAGTGGATCACCAAAGGCTGGCGGAGGCCATTGTGGCTGGGTTGCAGCAGGAACACCCGCCTGGCAACATTCCGTGGCCGCGAGCTGTGGAAGATCCGCCATTGAATGGCATCCGCCACCATCATGAACAGATGACCTCCAGAGTCATTGGGGGTTACTACAACCATGGAGATCGAGTACGGACCCCTACGCCTTCAGATGATGAGATGGCGATGCCTGGGGAGGCCATCGACCGCCTCCTTTATGGACGTTTTGATGGTGCTGATGGCGGGCCAGCGACTGGCCAATTGGGCCATGTGGACAGCGGCCCTGGGAGCTTTGACCTTGTGGAGGATGAGGCCAACTGAGAGCCGGGCTCAATGTGGTGCAACGTGCACCAGGGGGAGTGTGGTGACGGAAATACCACTACACTTTTTTGTAACCCCGTTTTCCTTTTTTCAAATGGAATTGGAAGCTGAAGCGCTTCATGGTCCTTAGGGATACAGAGAAGATTAGCATGGCACCTGGCAACTGACTGCCAAACGTGATGTATGGCTCAAGAAAAGAGCTTTGCTTCAGGTGCAGGGCTCCCCGGTTGCTCAGTTTGAAACCACCAACCAGCATCGGATATCAACTATGAAAACCATACGTTTAAGGGATACAGCCCCAAAATCGTCTGGGCCCCGTTCTTTTTTTCACCGAGCCACACGGGTTGCTGCCATCGCGTCTGCGTCAGGGCGGCATCCCACCACCTGGCCCCCAACCATTTCACCTTGGAGTTGGACGGTGGTTTTAACCGTAATGGTTAGAGAAAACCCAAAAAGGTACCAGTGAAAAAACCAGTTGTGATGATATGTTTTTTCATCATCACTAATACATTAGAGTTACACAAACAATGTGGGGCCCCCGTTCGATAGCTAAGTTGGTGTATAACTCCAATAACTATGGTTTACTATGGTTTACTATACTATACTTATAACTATAGTTCATGGGCTTTATAAACCAACTTATAACTGGGGGGGCCCCACATTGTAGTTATGATCATCCCTTATCTCTTTCTATTGGGAATCGTTCGGTTGTGTCACTGACTATCCCACGACAAAGAAACGCGGCACCTGCTCAGCTGCTCCTGGGGCTGTCGGTGGGAGTCCATGTATCAAAGAAGCACAAGTGTAAGGGCATGTATCTACGTTTTTTTAAATATATATTATAGTTATATATATATGTTAAATAATTATGGAATATTAACTGATCTAATATATGTATATGTCTGCTAGCTCCTCTGCCAAAACCTATGTTTGATACACTTTCCTATGATGGTATGTATATATATATATGTGTGTGTATCACATATGCGTATATCACATGAATATACTAACTTGCTTAGATAAATATAGATTATATATATATATATTATAAACATGTCATGCCAATTGTGCTAAAGGCAGCAAGATTTCAACACACCAAGCAGTGGTAGTCCAAAGGAGGGGGATTCGGGTCGTAAGTCCCACGGCAAAGCTGTCCTCTGTGAAGGGACAGCGTCGAAGGTGTGCAAAACTGCGACACCAAGCCTGTCACCCAAAGGACCAAAATCCACAAGCATGGTGCCCACAAATAGGTCCCTAGATCCAGTGATCATTTTTCCCATTGAAATGGCCATGAGTTGGGGTATACATGGGGTATACTAATATTTAATAATATTTATATATTAATATATACTTCTCCATTTTCCAGGAAAAAACATCTGGTAATTAGTAATTATATGTAATTATGAACCCTGCGGATCCATAGGGATCAAATGGAACATCAGATGTTACCATCTGGCAATCAAACATAGCCATGGAAAATTGTGTATGGATGGTTGACCTGTCAGAAATTGTGATTTCCCATTGCCATGTTTGATCACCGGAGAGTAAATCGATACCAAATTTGCCAAATGGTCAGCTCCCATCGCATCCACCAAAACAATTTTCTCTTAGGCCACCGGGCATCGTCCACACATCTTTCCCAGGCCTTTTCTCCTGATCAGCTGCAAACATGCCCAATTTTTGCTGGACAAGTTAACATCCAAATGGTGATCACAAGAATTCCATCTGTGATGGCAAAGACGTTTTTAGACCAATGTTCCTTTGGTCAAACCCTCGTCTTCCTTGTTTAACCCTTACCCTCTGGTAATTTAACATAGCTATTGAAAATCACAATGTTTAATGGGAAAATCCACTGTTAATGGTCATTTTCAATAGCTATGTTAAATTACCAGAGGGTAACCCTTATCATTATCTTTGTTGACTCAAAGCCTCAGCACTGTCAATCGCCTACATCCCAGTCCTTCTCCCACCAACAACAGCGGTTTGGCCTCGAGCGTTGGCCTTGGCAAGTTGGAAATTGGCTGTTTCTTGGTACAGGTTCTTAACATATATTTAGGAATCTGGTGGTCCAGTATCTCATATTTTTGATACAAGCTACATACTTTCATACTCTTTCATAAGCTTTAATCTCTGTACTAAATATTGATAACTTATTATCTGAATGCATAATGTTATAACAGGTTTCAAGCCATTCATGGGAAAATTCGTGCCGTATTGCACTCGAAAATCAGAGCTGGGAGGTCCATGACAATTGGCTTTGAAGCTCCGACGATGGACCTAGTGACGCCGAACAATAATTGGTGGGTGTTTTTGTTGAGAACATATGGATGTGGGTCAAAATGGAAAACCTAGGGGACCACAGCCGTTAGTCTAATTTAGTATTAACCATCCAATTATTGGGGTACCTAATTTTGACCCATACCCATATGGGTTTGTCCGAAAATTGATGATACCCGCACATTGATATACATTGATCACATTGCCAATCTCATCGGGAACCTGATGATGAAAAAAAAGGGAATTAGGATGATTTAGGGGCAGCCTATTTTTCAAACAAACTCATATTTTGTTTCACACACCCATGCAAAAGTGGCAATAATGACCGAAACCAGGATGACACCCCAGTGAGAACAATTCTACCCCACCTAGATGGTGTGAACAAAAACATCTCCTCTGTCATCAGCACATCTGAAAGATCCAGAAAGTAATTACAGAGAATCCTATAGATTTCCAATATTCATGTTCCGTGAACATAGGTTTTCATATTCCCATGAATATCCCAAATAACATGCTTATCTGATTGACACGTATGGCCGTATAAATATATGGCTAAATCACAACTCCAAAGGTCGTAGATTGTACCCATCCCCAAAAACCATCTCTACCCGCATTTTCGAAAAAACGTATTTTCAGAAACATCCCCCCGGTATTCAAACATGAAATCCATGGGGAAATCCCCTTTCCAAGAGGTGACTCCCCTTTCCAAGTGGTTCTCCGGGCCGAAAAATCGTCCTGGGCCCATCATTGATGGGCCGCCGGGCTCGCCCTCGAAGCCACCCAGACCTGGATTACTTGGACTGGGCTGACAGTGAATCAGATCAGTGGATGGAGTTTTTTGTTGGCAAAAAATATACCATCTGGTTATTTAACATAGCCATGGAAAATCCCTGATAAATGGAAGTTTTACTAGGTAAACCATCTATAAATGGACCATTTTCCATGGCTATGTTAAATAACCAGAGGGTAACAATGAAAGCATGACCATGTTTTTTTTTGGGGACTAATGTTGGTAATAGGATGAACAGTTCGGAGAATAATGAGGTGTGATTGTTGTATATTGTTGTATCGTCCTATTATCCTTTGTGTTTGATAATGGAATGAAACGGAATGAAATGATATGATCATATAGCAGGACAACTGCAATCATCCAGGAAAAAAGATCACAGAGCAAACCAACAATCAACACCTAATGTGTATCACAATAATGTTGGAAAAAGCTTGATTGTAAACCATCCCCTTAAAATTACTATGGATAAATGGGTTGTATAAACAAAATCAGTTCATATTGGTGGTTTATTGCTTTCTTAACATCACAATGATACAACACACACGCACACACACCGTATGTCGACGGAGTTGGCGGCCACGGTCTCGTCCGAACAAATTGACTCGTCAGTGATCCAGCAGCAACTGCTTGGGGCCTGTCCTGTGAGAAAGATTTGTATACCCTCTGGTTATTTAACATAGCCATGGAAAATGGTCCATTTATAGATGGTTTACCTCTTAAAAATGGTGATTTTCCATGGCTATGCTAAATAACCAGAGGGTAATCCCTAAGCTCAATATAGACGTGGAAGCCATGGCCCGATTCTGGATGAAATAGCTATTACCAGTAGGTGATTTTCCACTATATATTTATATATGTTCGTTTGCCCCAGGGTAATCCCAAACCTTCCTGGTTCTTTGATTCCTTTCGTCCAGTTTCAACTGATGGACTAACCATAAACTCTGTTCACTGCATAAGTTCTCCCGTATAGCTTCCCACGCTTCATAAAGAATCGAATAAAACCAAAGATAATTAAACCACAATTTGGTGATATTCATTGGCTATAGCTACATTCTGATAAAATCGGAGGAAGGCTATCCATCCTGGCAGAAAGGAACCAACTTCATCCACACTCCTAAAAAGTGGCCTGGCACCAACAAAATGGTTCAATGTCCATTAAACAATGTACAACAGGACAGTAATCTTCCAAACCGACAAAAACTTGTGTGGAGGTAAATTTGAGGTTCCATCTTGAGTTTAGTATAATATGATCCCAGATTTGGTTAAATCACCGTAAGAATTGTCAATCATTTGTAGTGAACGGAAAATAAACACTATGTTGCTGGATAAACGGTTATTTTCCATCGCACAAAACTACAGGATTGTGCAGGATTTTCCGCTACCTATCCAGGGGTTGGGGATTTTGATATATCAAACAAGGTCCATAAATTGAGGCTACCTTCCTGAAAGATGGTGGCATGGGATTAGTAATTCCCGGTGAGTTTTGGTGACTTGTAACATGTTCGCATGCGAACTAACCCACGAACTATCCGAATTATAATCTCACTAATTAATTGGAGTTAGTTGACTATAGTGACTATAGCTTATAAGCCACTTACTAACCCACAAACCATCCCAATTACAAACCATTTACGAACTAGTTAGTAGCGCTAGTAAATGCATCATGATTAGTCATTGTTAGCCATTTGTAATTAATCAACATTATTAGCAATTATTAACCACAATTAACCATTATTAATCCATTATTAACATTTACAACTACCATCTGGTTATTTAACATAGCCATGGAAAATCACCATGTTTAATAGGTAAACCTCTATAAATGGGCCATCTATACCATGGCTATGTTAAATAACCAGAGGGTAACCATCATTAAGCGACTAACTCCATGGCCATCTCAACAGCCACCGCTTGGTCGGGGCACATCTCAACAGCCAACGCTTCAAACAGAAGGCCTGCAGCGAAGATGGCTGGAGAAATGCAAAAAAGGAAGGTATCCCTGAACTAAACGATGATTCTTGGATATGATTGGATAAACTAAACTATGATGATTGGTTGATTGGTTGATTGATGGATGGATTGATTGATTGAATGATTGATTGATTGATTGAATGGTTGATTGATTGATTGATTGATTGAAACACATTGGATGCTTCTAGTCTTACAGCTTGTCAATCCCTCAACATGGTGATGTTCCATGCTCAGCTTCAAGACAGGTCGGCTCTACAGCCAGCAACGACCTGCGGCGGATCTGAGCGGATCTTGGAGACCCCGGCTTTTTCAATGGGTTACCCTTTGGTAATTTAACATAGCTATGGAAAATCCCTATTTTTGTGGGAAAATCTACTATAAATGGCCATTTTCAATAGCTATGTTAAATAACCGGAGTGTAAGTGTAAATGAACAGTTCGACCCAGAAAATCAACAATTTTTAAGGGTTCACTCATCTGAACCAAGCCCTGGCAAGGTCGAACGGTTAATTTACTGGAGGATACCCTCTGGTAGTTTAACATAGCTATTGAAGCCATGGCCCACTTATAGATGATTTACATTGATTTACCTATTACAAATGGTGATTTCCTTAGCAAACTGTTAGATTACCGGAGGATAAGACACCAATCATTGGAAATCGACCAACGGACCTCCCGAGCCAAGTAGCCCGATGGCCACGAAGAAACGCGAAGAAGGAAAACCTGGTGGGCTGTCGGCTGTTGAGTCATGGAAAACTCCCGGTGTTGCATCGACATAAAAAATGAACAAATGTCACATTATGTCATACGTCATACTGATATTTTTTTACTATATATAATATAATATATATATTATATTATATTATATAATATATATATATATGATATATATATATATATGATATATATATATATGATATGATATAATACATATATATATATATATGATATATATATATATAGTTATAGTATATATATAGTTATAGTATATATATAGTTATAGTATATATATATATAGTAATTATATAATATAGATATGTATAGATATGTACTAATCATATTATATACTCATACAGTTGCAGGCTCTTTAGGGGAAAGCCAATCATTCTTCTTGTACTAGTACATACACCATGTTGATCTCTCCCCTCATCTTTATCTGCTTGGAGACAAGGCACTCCTCACATCTGGCCATGCGTAGATCGTGGCCAGAGACGCTCCCACCAGCGTCAAGATCGCTGGCCTTGGCGAAAAACGTCGTCATCCGAGACTTGGGTATGATGGTATGGCTCCAAACGGAGATATGATACGCAATATCACACTTGGTCATATTTGATTATCTCACCAATAATATGGAATCTGGGTTTGTCTGGGAAATTTGAAAATGGGAGGTTTACCCCCAATAGATGGCTATAATCGATGCTATTCCAATATTGACAATGATGCTAAACAATCAGATTTTGGGGTCCATTTTCAGACACACCTGTTCTGAACAGAGTCAGTCGTGAAGTACACAACAGGGGAAGGAGCTGGTAAATCAGGAGACAATGTCTCGGAGACAAAACAAATTGGCCAAGAATAACGTATTTACAAACAATTCGAAAACTACAAAGTAGCAACCATATCAACAAGTGTATGAATGCAAGCTGTCAAAATGAAAACACGCTAACCCGGCACTTGGTGGCGTGACAATCAAACAAATTGACCTTTACCGAATTCATGATTCTCCCAGAAAAGGAGCTCTCATGTCGTGATGTCTTAGCTTTGATCCTGAATCCGTAAGAGAAGGTCCTAACCCATCCAGGCTGGGCCAGGCCAGTGCTTCTGCCCTTTGTGCAGAGATATCTTACAAAAGCACCATACCATCCGCCTTCTTTTGCGAGAATTGATGAACAACAAATGCAAAAGCATGGAATCTTGACCTCCTGTAGCGCAGCTTGCGGGACGACGACATGTCATCCATCGCAGTCATACTGCGGTTTCACATCCTAATATATTCAATGCTTTCCAATATAAAATCGATATTACTTGGCTGTTTTTGTCAACTCACCCATAGAATTCCCTGTCAGTTTCAATGGATTGGAAGGGTGTTTTTGTTTACAGGAAACTCCCTGTAGATCTTCATGGGACAATGCTTTCCGGTGAAGAAAAACCCATCCCCAGAGGTGACCTGAAGGAGTGGGTTCAAGCGGGACATATATAACTGCTTGGTGCTTGACCTACCCCTCTGAAAAATGATGGAGTTTGTCAGTTGGGATGATGACATTCTCAATATATGAAAACATAAAATTCCGTGGTTCCAAACCACCAACTAGATAATCATATATGATTATATAATATATAATATAATATAATATAACATAATATAATATAATATAATAAAATATAATATTATATTATATTTTATTATAATATATATATACATATACACTGCACATCATGTTCGCAAGAATTAGAATAAATCGTTGCCTAATCTGAACATACCTGCAAACCCCCAAAAGAATCGATGGTCTCTGACGATTCTGAGAAAAATGCCACCGAGGCACCACCAGGAGCTGCCAAAGGCTCTTAACCCAGCGCCGACATCGCTGCGCCTGGGATGGTTGGATAGTTCGGGATTGTAATCCCTGTCGCCTGTCATGGGAAAATCATGTGAATTTATAGGGGGATATGATTCAAGAACATTTTCTGAAGTATACCCTGAGTTCTGGAAAAAAATGATAGAGGAAAAATGAGGAAAAAACTAAATTGACTTGGATTCAGAGGTACAAGCAATGAGTTTTGAGACATATCCATTGTGTAAATGGGTTTGTGGTGATGGTTTCAATTCATGCCCAATATCAGGAATCAGCCAGTTGCACTTGAATGTGGATTTCTGAATATCTTTGGCCTGAAGATTACAGTGCTTGCGAAAGTAGTGACAGCCACTAACCAGGTAATTCAGACATGAGGTTCCCTATCTCTGTTCACTCAAAATCAATCCAAGTGCAAAGTACTACATGTGTGGTGTCATGCTACACTCTTGCGAAAAAGTAGCTTTGGAGGCTCGGGAGCTAGTGGGCGCAACCGGCAATCATGGGTGAAAGTGTTTTAGATCTTGAAGAAGTAAAAGTCCAAGGATACTTCGGATCCTGAGTCATGAGGTTCTGGATCTGACGAGATTTCTGCGTGGATTGCTAAGAGTTGGCCCATTCACCAACGATTCAACAGTCCGTCCAATATAGGCATCTAAGTTGGGCTGTAAACTCAGCAAAAAGGATAAAACAGATAAACAGAAAGTGAGAGACAAAGAGAGAGAGAGAGAGAGCGACCGAGCAAGGTCTGTGCAAACCATCTGATGTTTTGTCGTAGAAGTTTGGCCATCGCTGACTGTAGATTCGCACTATGTAATGATACTTGCTCTGATGATAAACACACAGATGTAAACAATGTACTCCATTCCCTTATGTAATGATAAATAAACATCCCCCAGAACCCGTGGTTTAGCCTTCAATCTGTTGCATTCATCTACACCAACCCTGCCTTCGATCCCGAAGCTCCTCCGCTGTCGTGCAAGCCTTCCATCAGTTCAAGATCTGTGTGCTGTTCGGATTCTGAGACAAATCCGGACTGGAAAATCTAATATGCAATCCAGACCAATGAACAATGGCCTGAGCAATCCTCAAAAGTGGAATTGTCGAAGTCACAGCACTGCAAATGCCATGTGCCCACCTTTTCTACCTGAAAGTCAAAAGCTGCCTTGTGCCTGAATAGCAGCCAGTCAGGTCAATTGGCTGATGAAATGTTGTGAAAATGGTTGCACCAATATGTGTGCATGGTAAACACGAATTGCATTCACATTGGTCAGGAATCCATGCCTGACTTTCGTGCGTTCGGCACGGTAAAAGGAAGCTTCAACCTACCGTCTCTCACTGCGCTCCACGAGCCGGATTCATCTTTTTCGTGAGAACGTCGGCTAATTGTTCTTCCGTGGGCACCCAATGCAGTGGTGGCTTACATGGTTTGTCAGGGCGCACAGCCCCGATTCCATACCGTCGCTTCCACTGATGGATTGCTTCAGTCTTGAGGGACTGCCTGATGGCCGCCAAGTCAATGGCGAGGCGCCGCTCTGTTGGAGCTTTTGGTACTCCTTCTCGGTGTAAATGGTCGTAGAGACTCTTGCAATCGGTACACAGGTGCATCTCTTGGAATTCGCCAGCTTCTGCTTCTGGAACTAGGCGACCTTGTTGGAATGAGAGCAAGAGGCACCGTAGATACAGCGCAGCTTCCATCGCCTCACCACATGCCATAGTCTCGCCCGCAAACGTAGATCTGCAGACTCTTGAGCTCGCTCGGCTACGCCAATCTACAAATGAGGCATTGCCCTCTTTGTTCTCCAAGACTTTTCTGTCGGCTACCATGACCAGACAAGCAAGCTGTGACGAAAGCTTGGTGTCTCCATCCCAAACTGGGTCAATCTCTTCCTCCAAATCCACATTCGCCCAAGCCGCATCGTGGAAGGCAAGGATTATCATGTCATTCACATCAATCTTCTTGAGCTTTATGCCTTCGTCCTTGAAGCGCTTGGCCATGTCTACAATCTTGTTGGTGTTCTTCACGTCACCAACCGTAGGATTCGCTTGAAGACGTTGAGCCTGTGCTACCATGAATTGAATGTCTGGCCGAGTCTGTTTCGCCAGCCAAGACAAACAGCCGACCGTCGTGCGATTCTGTTGGATCATATCCTCAGGAGCTGGGTCATTGTCAGTCAGCCCCCCAGGGATGCGCACCTTCTCCAGTCGGCTCTGTGCGTAGTTCTCTTGAGAGATCTTGATCTCTTCTGGGCCAATCTCATACTGACACCCCACATACTCAAAGGCATCAGTTTCCCAGTCATCGACGGGGAAGCGCTTGCTGATCTCGGCTTGTAGTTCTTGGTGTAGAGCTGGTTCTGTCATGATCATGAGATCATCCACATGTGTCAAAATGGCGCCAACCACCCTGCCGCCATGTCCTTTGAGTAAGAACACGCAGGGGTCTATCTCATTCTGCTCCACATAAACCTCCTCCTTGCCATAGGGGATCTTGATCTGCAGCAACTCGGTTGAGAGTTTAACCCACCATAGTTTGGGAGATGTTGAGAGCCCAAAGACCCCCTTCACAATCTCCACCAGTTGTCCAGGCATCAGTCCTGGTAGCCCTCGTACCGGCTGCTTGAAGTAGAGCTTGCGAGGTGCCTCCACCCCATTGAGGAAGGCAGCCCTGATGTCGCCGATAGACACCCGCCAACTCCATGACAAGGCCAAAAGCAAACATAGGAGAATGGAGTGTCGATTTGCTGTTGGTGCATCGACAGCCATATCTGTTGTCCCCAAATCGGGGTCTCGTTGTCCTCCCACGCACAGCCTTGCTTTGGCTTTGCGCTCAACATTTGGATCTGATCTCCTCTTGGCCAAGTTCTTGTCCCGGTAAAGGAATCGAGAGGGTAAAATTCTTTCCTTCCCGACCTCCACCTCCACTCTGGCGCTCTCCTCCAATGAGAGCGGGCGAACTGCTCCATACTGTAGATGTTCATCCCATTGCTTCTGCTCAGCGGCCCTGAACAAGTCCTTCTCCTCCGCTGATATCATGTGCCATGGGATCTCCTTCTCCAATGCCTTCTCCAAAGCTTCAGGACTGCCAATGCGTTTGGTGAAAAAATTGGAACTGGTCGCATTTGTCACATTCGCTGACCCCCCACCGCGAGGTTCACCAGGTTCATGCGTTCGGAGGTGCTTTCTAATGGACACTGGAACATCGTCCAAAATCCTGGACTGCTTGGCCAGGCGCTCAAAACGCTTCTGCCTCTTGAGCTCGACGTGCTCGCTCCACATCTCGGGCGCAAGCACGCCCGGCTTGTGGTGGTGGCTCAGTGTCCATCACCGCCTCGTCCAAAAGTGCTTCGAAGCTCATATCTTCGTCCACCTCCATGTCACCCACAGCCATGTCATCTGCTGCCTCCTCGAAGTCAGCATCCAGCGCTTTCTTCACCTCATGGAGCGCTGCCTTGATCCGCAACGCCTCGCTGACTTCTTCATGTTCTGCCATGCGAAGATGTTCGCCTGCCGCCAAAAGACAACGACCACCACGAGCCACCCAGTAGTTAGAACCTTCTGGGCCGATCACAGTGGCAGGGCCAAGCCATTTGGAAGACACTCGTTTCCCTTTGCCCTTGTTCTCGCGGTAGACATAGACCATGTCGCCAGGCTTGAACTCCTTAGGTTGCACCCGAGGCCGATGAGCCAAGGCTTTCCGCACTGCCTCTACAGAGTGGCCTTGGAAGAAGGCCATGCGCGCTGCCACTCTGAGGGTTTGTTTGCGCGCCATCTTCTCATCTGCCGTGACGTTGCTGAGCGCGCTCAATTGTTCAGCGCCATCTTCGGGATCTGGGACCAGTCTTCCATTGCTTCCAAAGACCCATTGCCTTGGCGAGAAACCAGACCGGTTCCTCAATGTGTTGCGGGCTTCATTGACCGCGGCTGCGGCGTCAAACATGTCTTTGTCGGTGACGCTACATTCCAGGCAAACACGATCCCACACATCTTTCCATGCTCCATTATATCGTTCTGCCACCCCATTCTGCCAGTGTGCCTGACCAGCGGCACTCCTCATGCAGATACTGTCGCCTGATGTGATCTCCCAGAAGCTGTCCTGGAATGATGTGTCCAAGTCGAGGACAATCTTGGCAGGAACCCCTGCCCAAGCTACCCAGTGCTTGTAGAAGGCTTCGGAGACCACATGAGCATGCCGACTTTCGATGGGTATGACCACCTGATATGACGATGCCACATCCACCATGTTGAGCGCCAAGTTGCCCTTGGACTCCACAGTATCTATGTAGATGATGTCCAGGGCAACCGCCTCATTGAAGTCTAGCAGAGTGGCCGGCTTTGTGACACGATGCGCCGGCGGGCGCTTGCATCTCGTACAGGTCTTGCAGTGGAGGTTGTGAGCAGCCGCCACCATCTCCTTCGGAGCTCCCCCAAGGGTGAGATGCTTCACCATGTCACGATTCGAAGGATGCCCAAGATTCTGATGCATCCTCCTCAGAGCACCAGCTACCTTGCCAGAAACCGTCCCCTTGAAGGTGATGTCGCTTGCCCCCCTGCCGCCACTGGCTTCTTCGGGTATGGCTTCCATCTCCACCGTGAGGGTCCACAGGTGTCCTTAGGACAGCGTTTCTACAAAACAGACCTGGAGGTGTCAGCTGTTTGCCGAAGTTGCGCCATGTATTTACATGCATCAGGCAGTGCCATGGCAGGGTAGTGCAACATGTCTGGAGCTAGCAAGCGCATGGCTCTATGGAATGCTGCAGCTATATTATAAGCGTCTCTGCTCGACCGGAAAAGGTTCTTTTTATATACATAGATAGGTGGCCATACATATATATAATTTCCATATATCTGTAACAGGCGGTGTGTGGATCAAAGGTTTCCTCCAGTATTATCCATTAATTACCCACATTGCATTAAAAAAATAGATTAAAAAAAATAATGTATGCACCCCAAGTACCAAAGCCTCCCGATGGCAGATATGCGCCTACGGTTTGCAAGGTTGTGGTTTATACCCAAACGTCCTTTATCTGGGTGTGTGGTGGAAGCAAGTAATGGCCAAAATAATGCATATAACTTATAACTTATAACCTCTTTAAGTTGGAATATTGCCCCTATAAAGTGTATACATTTGTAGTATCATCAAAGTTTTCACCCCCAAAATGTTCTTTGTTGGTCTGGACTGACGCACATGCTTGCAGCGTTGTTTTTTTCAAAGTGGCTTGCTGGATTTGCCATCTTGCCAAAGAAAGACTGAGGTGTCTGCACAACTGATGGGGATTAAACCCAGAAACAACTGCTCAAATAGTCTTTATTGACCCCAATTGTTTGCCCTTTTGTGACTCAGCCTGGGTTCTCCGGCCCAGCAGGTGAAACAACAGGATTTTTCCGTCTTTCGCTATGCCATTGCAAGCTCCCGGTTTTATAGGCAAATGAGGTGAAACTGCCATGAGTCATGAGGTTTTTTTGGCTGCAAACCGAACAAGTGAAAACATTTTTCATTTTCCATTCGCCATTGATTGTACTTGTGGGGATGAGATATCAAACAAAAAGGGGGGGCAGGGCGGACAAATAATTCAGCGTGCTATGTAAGTATGAAACCCCACAACTGTTTGGGATCCCATGTAGGTGTATTTGAAATCTTGGACTCTTAAACTGAAAGAATCACAACAACCAAATCAGGGATGCATGATTGTAATTCAAGTTAGTAGATATCTACTGTCATGTTAGCTGGATCATTTGAGATTGCTTTGGCCCTGCGGCTATCTTCAACTCAAAGGCAAATTTTTGCCAACGCACCAGCCTGTTGTCGCTCACTTGGCCTGCAATGATTGTGCCACTGGCAGATTCCGACACCCGACCATGGAAGTCTGTCAGAACCCTGATTGCAGCAACATTTTGTTCAGGGAAAACCAATACATGTAGGTTTGTCTGGGGGTTCGGCTGTAGCAAATGCGGGTGGCCAATTTTTTTTGTGGGTTCCAGAAGTCCACATCTAGTCATAGTTAATCAAAATCACGTTGGTGTCATATGGGCGTGCTTGAAAATTGAAGACCCCTAAATCCATGATTTTTCATTAAAATCCCTTACATGATCTTACATAGCAATTTGGGGTTAAGCCATTCAGACAAACCATATACGCATACATACCTTCTCCCTTCTCAGGACCCGGGGTGATATCTTGGACCGAAGCCGATGTGGAAGCTCGGACCAGCAAAGTGCAAGTCTGCAATCAGTACAAACAGTATTTTTGCTAAACAAACAAAGTTTAGATTTCCAAACGAACAAAGATAGTTGCAAGAGAGTGCTCAGGTTCAAGGGGTGGTATTTCCTGAACTTTCGATCGGCGTAGGGTAGTTGGGTAGTAGTTGGGGAATTATCACATTTACTTTTTTTCCCCAATTGATAGATGTTCCAATCCCGGCCCAGGATCGCCTTGCCGGGAAGTGGATGAATGATTTTCCTGGCCGAGCCATGGAACTTGTCACAAGTAACCGGCTTCCACCCGGCGCGACCCTGGTGAAATTGGATTCCGAAGTCACCACCCCTTCGGTAAAGGAGTCGATGGGTTTATGTCATGCATATTGTTTTTAATTTCATAATAGTGGCCCGATTTTTTTTCAGCCATGCTTATGGGAAGTCATTGGGATTACCTTTTCAATTGTTATGGAAATCCATCTATATATGATGTTTCAACGGTCCCTCTGGACTTATATGCCACCATGATTTTGTGGAGTGCGAGGAGATCAGTCGTAATTTTCTTTGGCTTCGAAGTGTCTGCGAGGAGAACCCGTGTAAGGCCTTGTTTGGGAAACCTATTGATAGGTTCAAAATGAAATAAACATATAACTTTGTACTTATGGGTTGAGGTGCTTTGGAAGGAGAATTGAGCCCCATACAACTTTGTACTTATGGGTTGAGGTGCTTTAGAAGGAGATTTGAACCCCAAGGGACAGGTGCGTCCATGCGAGAATTTGAAATAACACCCCAGTCAGTATAATATATTGTCTGTCATATACTGTATAATGTATTGTCTCATATATTGTCATTTATTGTCATGCAATATATTTTCATTTAACCCATCTACAGCTGGATAAACTTGATATTTCCTCTTATTGCCCCGGATACAGCGCAATGAAAACAAGTCCCAATCTTAAATCAGTTTCCGGGCAGGTGCCAAGCGCTTTCTACTTGACGGATGCCTTCTTGAAATTGGACACCTACTTGAAAGGGTTTTTGCTGGTGCCTACCACGGATTCCTCCAAAGGTGATTTGGCCGGGCAAGAGGCCAAGCGCATAAAGAGGTTGGTGGGTGCGTTGCGGCACCTATACCGCAACAGTTTCTTGATGAAGATATAACGACAAAAAAACTATAAACCATGAGTCTATTTTTTTATCTAGTTCGAAATGGGGTTGCCACTCATAATCAAGTAAAATGGTCACCAAGCCAAATGGTCACCGCATAAAGATGTGAGTTTTTTTACCTTTAAGATTCCCACAGGGGCCTTTGCGGCCCTTTCCAATGAGGCCCGAACGACAGCCCAGATGCATACGTTGCGGAGCTGAAGAACCTCCTGCGCATGTCGCCAACTCGTGGCCGAAAGCAGGAGAATGGGGGTTGCCCAGTTCTTGGTATCATGGTTCATCCAATAAGGGGTGTTTTTTTCAGGTGATACATGATTATGCAACACACGTGAGAGACACATGTTCAGGGTTAAGTTCAAGTCTTTGGGATCACTGGGATTTAAAAACAAAATTCTTTCAAGTATGTAGGACCATGGGGATGATGATCATGATGATCATGATGGTGCACCAGCCCTTTGTGATGACCATTCAGCCATGGAGACAAGTGAAGAAGAGATCTCCCACCATGACCCAGAGTCGTCAGAGAGTGAGTCTGAGCACAGCGAAGACCATTGCATCGATCCCCCCCAAGCCACAGTGTCAAGGTTGATGATGAGGAATCTGAACATGAATCCGAATATGCAACCAGTGATGGAGAGTCAGACCATGAGAAACCTCCCATGACCAAAGAAGAGAAGCTCAAGAACTATTGGCAGCAATTTGCTGTCCAGCGAGATTTCCACAACCCGATGAGTTCTACCAAGCATGATGATCAAGAACATTCATCTGCCTTGCCTTCTGAGGTGCCTGATGATTCCAGCAGTTCCACAAACGGGGACGCAGAGAACAAGGATGTTGACATGTCGGACGGGGGTGGGGAGTCTGAGGATTTGAGCCCAAGTTCCAGTCCACTTCCCAAGGGATCGGGACGCACGATCTCCGAGCATGTCATGCGGGTTGAGGATGGGGTTCACATTCCTGATTCCAGTACTGATGTTGCAGCATCTTCTGAATCTGGGACCACATTGGTACTTGGTGAGCCGCGCATCCCAAAAGGGAAGCCACCCCAAGAGCCCCGAAACCCAAAGGCTGAACCATATGAGGGGTCTTCAGATTCGAGTGATGACAGTTCCATTTCTTATGGAGATTTGGTACCAGAAGATGCCTTTGCAGATGCTATGGGGGATGCCTCAGTAGAAGCTCAGAAGCATGCCGCCAACAGTGGCCCTTCTTCCTCTAGTTGCAAGACAACCATGGTGACACCAAAGTGTGAACGACCCAATTTCTGGGGATTCCCCCTTGTGGAGACGCCTCCGAAAGAACTAGACCCTCAGCTGATGTTTTAGCCACAATTTCCACACTATATAGTAATCAATAGGCAGCTTAGCACAAAAAAACATTCCTTGCTTTGATTCGCTTTGTCGGTTGATGTTTCTTGTCCTCTTATACTCTCCCAAGCCAAAGCGGTTTTAACCACAGCTATACAGATAATACCTCGATTGTCACCCATTGCTCAGGCTCCCACTGGCCACAACGGCCAACGCAAGGGAAAGGCGAACAAGGGCAAGGGAAAGGCGAAGAAGGACAAGGTGAACAAGAAGGCATCGTTCAGGCGCACCAACCCCAAGCGCATGATGAAATCCAAGGAAAAGCTCCCCGAAGGTCTTGATTTGGTGAGCATGGCACCCATGAGCCCATATGTCAACCACTCCACTTATGGGGATTACGATTTGAAACCTTTGCCACTGGAAGCTTGGCCAAACATGAACCGGTCAAACCGTGGAAAACATTCCTATACCCTGGCCGATGGACAGGGTGCTGTGGTTGAAGTGTTGCTTTCCAAGAAATGCTTCTATATCAAAAAGGTCAAGCCAGGCTTTCCTGGGCCCGACGGCCAGTTGTCTTGGAACAAGCTGGGTGGTGCGACCCAGGCTTGGAATGCCGCAAAGGAACGGTCTGGGTATAGTTCATGATTGAGAGTTCCCTGAACCTTGATGACTGAATCTAAAATAATCTAAATTAGATTTCTGTTTGCTACACATGGTTTTTGATGCTGTGAATGGTTCCCGAAATGGAGTCTATAGGCTTTGGGCTGGCGTAGGATTTTGGACTTTCGCTCCTTCGTACGGCGAAGGGAGAACGGTATTGCGTCATTGCTTTGCAATGAGGGGCAGCTTGGGGTCAGGCGTCATAGGCCAGCAAGGGGGGCAACAACAGTCTGAAGAAAAAAATCAATCAACAAACAAGCTAGCATTCTTCAAATATTATATTAATTTTGTGTTTACGGGTTTGGCTCTTCCTTGCTGTCGGACTATGCCCCCAAAGGTTTAGATAGATGGGACTGCTTGCTTCGGGAGTTTGGCTTCAACAATATTTAAGATCTTTAGCAGTAGCTCGGCTTTAAAGTTGCATGCGTGTGGAATTGTGAGTTTTGTTTTCCAAAGGCCACACAGCAAGCATTAGCTAACTGGAAGAGTTTGTGAGCATCGTGTCATTGCTGCGGTGAGGTGAAAAAGTATACAACAGGCTGTCAATTTGTTTCTGCTCACATGCCCTCATGTCATGTCGCTTTCGACCCAAAAAACTTTAAACCTTCTATTATTACAGGTCCTGCCAATTTATGGACATTTCCATCCCTGCGGGTGACTCTTTTTTTTGACTGTCGTTTTGGAGGAAAATCTTGGAATCCAGACAAACAACTTGATTCTGCTCAATATTGAGTTCTCTTATTTTTGCATTTGCCCCAGCGCGCAAATGAGAAATCATGAGAAATCCTCACTTACACTTACCCCGGTGTGCAAATGAGAAGTCCTGGCTCAAACGTATTTGCCACTGTTGATGCAAAAATTGGTCCCCTGTCATGACCAACCAAAGGCTTCAAGAAGGCATTGGCAGCATCAGTTTTGCTAAGACTATTGTATTGCCGTTTGCTAATCTCTGTTCAAAGCCTTTACAAAGCTGAGCCCAAGATACAACTCGGGACTTAACTTACTGGGGCGTGCTGCGGGGGATTGCCAGCACATCTCAAGAGGCTGGGTGATCTGGTCTAAAACAAAAACAATTGGTCACCACACATCCTTTCCAACCCCATGCCACCCCAGCAGCCACCCTCAAGTCCTGGCTCTGTTCAGGATCCATGGCAAGCTGAAGAGGGTCAAGCCTTACAGAGGCAATTTGCTGCGCAGCTGGGTTGGCCTATTTGGAGACTTTCCCATATATATTTACATGTGCATATATATATAGTAGTAGATATACAAGGTTATACATATATAAATGGATATATACACAACACACACATATATATAAATAAACACGTGTAGATTTTCAAGATTGTATAGACTGACACTGCACTTGTTTTGGGTTTATTAAATTAGCACTGGGAATGCTTTCCAATGGCTATTCAAAATCATGAGGATGACGATGAGCCAACACAATTTCAGTCAAACCCATTTCACAAGACCAAGGATGAGAAAGTTGCGACGAAGTATACAAAGTTCTCAGAAGAAAAACGTCATCACCCAAAAATACCTTTTCTGACTTCTTGAAAGGTGGTGGAGGCATGTCAAACCAAAATGGAGTGGGTTCTTCAGTTTCATGACTTCGCCATGCCAACCCTGCAGAATCTAGGTGGCTCACTTTCTGATCTGTTACAGGTCGTGGTCATGGGAAAACCTGCTCCCCCCAAGCGCCAAACTGTGGCCATGGTGAAGTCCGTGCCAAAAGGCTTGGCATCTCCATCTGAGCCTGTTGGTGTGGCAGCGCAGCACCGGAGCGAGACCATGAGGGGCTTGAGCAAGCTAAGGGCACCAAAGGCTAGGAAGTCACTCTTAAATGGGGTCAAGGGTACGTGGCCAATTAAGGCCAAACTCATTCAGAACGATTCACATGGACTAAGGAGCAAAAATGATGAGCTCCACTGTGTACTAGCTCCATTGTGTTTTTCTCCAGGCCTTTTGGGTTACCCCATGGTTATTGACAAAAATATGTAGGGTCACGAACCATCCCTTTATTTTAGAACATCAATCTACTTTGGAATCTTGGAATCGCCATTCAATGGAATTTTTGTTGTTGATTTGCACGCCCACTTAATCCCGTAGTTACTGGATGGGTAAGATCCTGTAAACAAGCGTAGTAGATAGGGAGATGGGATTTTACACAACGTGGATAAAAATGAGACGGCCTAAAAAACCTCAACGGTATAACTGGTTTGTTATTACATTATGTTCACCAACCATGAAGACGATAGGTCCCCAAAAAGAGTGGTTGGGGACCTATCGTTTTAATCCCCGCTGTGTCTTCCCTGCAGCGGTGATCCGAATTTTCTTTGATCCACGCACATGTACAAATTTACATAAGATGCACATATGCACAAAATAGTTGTTGCATTACGTCAGGGTTCTGCTTGTAGATCCCGCTGTGTTCTTCGCTGGTAATTCCGGGTGAACTTAACCTTAGGAACTTCACTGTTGATTGAACTGTTTGATGTGACCAATGTTCACAACTCTTTCTTTAGACGTGAGAACTTATGGTCTTTTGAAATTGACATGACACACATGGGCAAAGAACTTTGGGAAATTTGACATGTGTATTTCATTTATTTCTGAAGAATGTGATTTATCCATTTATATGTTCGGATTTGTTCGTCTCAAGAGGGAAAATTACCACACACACACAAATATATTTGTGAATGCATGCATTGTTGCAAAAATACAGATTGACAGGCAGACAGGCAGACAGACAGGCAGGCAGGCAGACAAACAGACAGGCATGCATACATACATACATACATGCATACATACATACATACATACATATATAAATATAAATATATATATCTAGTATAATATTAACATGTTTACATACTGACACTTGTACATCTTAACAATTACAAAACAAAATGTGTACCTACACAGCAAGTGATACAGGTAGAGCTATGCCCTCACAAATGCAAACATAATCCTGTTTTTGGTACATACCCAGGGGTATGAACTAGTTACTCACCCTGCCAGATTGTAGCAGTCTTGGCTGGGCTCATCTTCGCCTTGCCCGGACTGCCCTGGGATGCCACGCAGCACTGTGAGCTCTTCAGCGGCAAGATGGCTGTCACCTTGGCCGAAATGCAGGCAACATGGCATAGAAATCTGGGGCCATTCCCAAACAAGGTAGCAACTACCAAAAGGGCACTGGGATATGATTATTGATAATGTAAACCAGGAATGGAGAAGGCACCATCAAGGGGCCATGCATTTATCAGACTTGATGGATTGATTTGTAAGCGTAAAGAAATTGTTGTTGGGGTTTTTTAGGCATGCCCCAAGCATGAACAAAACCATACACTTTCAGTGCTTCGAAGGAGGGGCGAGCCTGCGCCGCTTTCGATGTGGACTATGACAAGACCTACATGAACATCTTGAGCCCTGAGGGATATAGCCATGCGCTTTACCAAGTCTTGAGACTTGAACGGGGTTCATCTCTGACGTTAGCTCCAGTATGTTCCAGCTTCGTTTGGGTGTCACATGGCACTATTATAACATCAGCCAGCTGCAGGTTTGTTTAATTTGATTCCCCATGAAGCGTGATGGGTCCTTGGAACAGTGATCCCCTTTAGAAAAAAATACCCCTGGCAGTGGTAATTTTTTGACCATTCATAGGTCTTTCAATTTGCTGCCAGAAGTCCATGCACCTCTCTAGAACTGCGCCAACCAAAAAGACAAGATAATTTTGGGGTAAGTTTATTGTAGTGAAATTTCAAATTCAAATGGTTGGGGGTTGGGGAGCTAGCCACTTAAAATGTGTGATTGGCATCTTTGATAAACCAGGGTTCAGGAGTTATTTGCCCTAAACACAAGCCCCGTCTTCTGAGGTCACGGGGCACAACAAAGCGCTCATCCAGTTGTCCAGAAGGAGATCCTTCAGTGCGATGTGTTCAAGAAGGTAATTGTATGGCTTGGCGCTGCGCATTACTTTGCTTTTTAGCTTTGGCCCGTGGAATATGGGTAGTATTAGAGCAGCCCAAAGGAAGCCTCCTGGAGGCTCACCCTGCAATGCAGGCCTTGTTCAAAACATGCTTTTTTTGGAGAAAATCCATCCGAATGGGTGACTTTGCGGCTTCCAGTCAGAAGGACACCTGGTTGTATTCAAGTCAGATCCTCAATCAGCCATGATAACAATTTTGCCCTTGAATGGGGGTTTCAAAATCAATGGGGTCCAAATCTTGCTTAAAACTATATTTTCCTGACTCTGGGATTTTTTAAAAAATGCCAGGGTCAGGAAAAAGTGTTTCGACCCCCCATTAATTTTGAAACCCCCATTCAAGGGAAATATGACATGATGTCAAAACATTCCAATAAAGTGTTAACATCATTCTGGTTACCAAAAAAGAGAGGATAAGGTCTGTTTCCCATATGGATTCTAAATTCTGGGCTCATTGAGGTCAACCTTTCATCGAAGGGATCTACGATTTTAAGCCGGTCCGACTGCCAGCAAAACCAAAGTTGGCCCTTGTGAAGAAGTATGTCGACTCTAAGGGGATCAACCGAGTCAAGGGCTCACGCCACCTCAAAGGGAGCCAATCTTACACTCCCCAGTGTCTGAGCTTCTCAGAATGTTTCTAATTCTAATGGGTTGTGATGGCGGTAAGGTCCCCAAAAAAAGTGTTTGTATATTTTGTCACTTTACTTGCATTAGCCTGATAATCAAAATTTGGCTTTAAACAGTAAGAGACGCTTGAGTCACTGTTTCGGTTTCCTGTGAAGGCAACAAAAACCTTCACACTTTTAGTATGAATATATATATATATATATCTATATATATGTGTGTGTGTAAATATATGTGTATATATATATATGTAGATATATTGTGTATTAGCTGAGGTGACGTCTTGTTCTAAACATGAAATGGGAAGCAGTTCCAATTCTTTCACCAACTTGTAGCCCGGCTCAGGTTTGGCCGTGCATTGGCACGGCTGAGGACCCGGCACCAAGCTGAAGTCCAAAAGAAAGCAGCTGCGTTCCTCCAAGCTGCTGGGCGCCAGCGACAGCCCAGAAAGATGAGTTCCGACTTTTCATCTTGGGTCAAGAAAGCCAACTTGAACCCTGTCATTGAGTACCTTACTTGATGGCCAACGGATGCCAGCAGGTAATTCTCTACCGGTGAAGTGTTTTTTTCACTCGCTGGATAGCCAAATTCATGGGCCCACAGTTCATGTTAAACTGAACTTGTGAACTTTGGAACAGTGCAAACCAAGTCTCAAAAGGGGGAAAAGTGATGATGGTCTTGGTGTACACGCAGCGGGTTCCAGTTTCTCCCAAAAGCTCAAAAAGGAATCTCATAGACTTCGATGGAAAAAGCTTTTGTGGTTGTGCTATCTATCTAGAGGTATACAGGATAACACATCAGATCTGCCAGAAACACTCCTTCCCCCTAGTACCCCAGCATTTCTGGGGGAGTCCCATCCACATGCCTGTAGCACAGCCTGCAGGTGGTGGAATGCCACGATTGGTCTTGAAGACCTTACAAAAGCGAGGCCCGCGGTGGAAATCAGGGCTGTCATCATTTTTTCTTTGAAAAACTGGTCCAAACAAAGTTGCGATTTGTCGAGAATTTGTTGCGATTTGCCGAGAAAAGTTGCGTCCTGTAGAACCGTCTATTCCCCATCATTGTTTGGATTGCTGATTTCATGAAATCATTTCTGTATTTCCACTTCTAAGTCTTTCCACGGCCCAAAGCTGCGATTTGTGACATAGACGTGTGAACACGTAGGTCACTTAGAGTAGCCATGGCCAAAACAAAGGGCCATGCCGTGAGTGGCGATCCACCCAAAACCAGGGTGTCAGGAAAGTCAAAGCCAGTTGCGAATGCAAGGGTGAGCCCAAGTACAGCTAGCACTGCGACTTCTTCACAAAAGTCCTTTGTCTACAAGACCCCCTCTGACAAAGGCACGGCTGCCTTGAAATCACCCCCGGAGGTGAAGAAGACTAGGAAGGGAGACATGGAGAAGAAAGACACGAAGGCAAAGAAGGACGACAAGAGAAAGGCTGAGAAGAAGACAAGAGAGGAGAAGAAAGGTCAAGCACGTCGTGATGATGATGGCATTGTTGATCAAATGGTCAAAAAGAATGCCGAATCAGAGCTTAAGGTTGAGAGTCGTGGCGCCAAGCGCAAAAGTGAGGCAGAAGCCAAAGAAAGGAAGGCCAAGGCAGCAAAGACAGAGAAGGCAGAGAAGGTAGAGAAGAAGGAGAAGAGATCAGAACAGAAGACACCAGGAGGGAAGAAGGAGCATCAGAAGGAAAAGACCGGTAAGAAAGATAAGAAGGAGAAGAAGGAGAAGAAGGAGAAGAAAGACAAGCAATGTCGCAAGGAGTCAAAAGAAGGTCAGAGCACAGCTGCGGCTGCGAAGGAGAGAAAGGAGAAGAAGGAAAAGAAGGAGAAGCCAGGAGCGGAGGATTCTGAGAAGACAGACAAGGCAAAGAAGGATCAGGATGAGAAGAAAGGATGAAAGGTGGTGAACAGGATGAAGATATCGATCAACTGATCGCTGAGGTTGAAGCTATGACAGAAGAAAAGACTGATGAGAAGGAAGAAGAGGAAGAAGAGGTAGAGGATGCAGGAGAGGAAGAAGAGGGTGAAGATGACGAGGATGGAGAAGATCAGGCAGAGAGTGAGGCAGAAGGCGAAGAAGAGGAGGAGGAAGAAGATGACTCGCAGGACATTGAAGATCTCTTGGGTGAGTTGGATGCTAAGTACAGCCCCACTGGTGACCAGTCAGATCTTGAAGGCCTTGAGGATTCCCAGAATAGTCATGGTGGATCTGAACCCAATACCAGTGACCTTGACAGCTCTGATGAGTTGTCCTCCAACTCGTCAGCGCATGGTGATGACGCTGGGGCCCCTGCTGTCCCTCGTCCCGAAGATGGAGCCATTGTTCCGGTGACTCCTGCCGAGAAAGGTGCAGCGATTGCTGCCGCGGCTGAGCAGTCTGCTCTTGTCCCAGCTCGTGCCAACAGTCCCTTCCCATTATGATGAGAACCTATCACTTTTTGTTGGTGCTTTTGTGAGTATAAATGTAGTATGGGGGCAAAAGAGACAAAAGAGACAGGTGGTAATTTGAGTCCTTCATGTTTCTTGGTGTCCTTTAGGCCTATCTCTAGTATGCTTCTAGGTGTCCATTGGGGTATTTCATCTTTGCTTTTGGTGCCCAGTGGGGTATCTCAAGTCATCGCCCAGGCGTGACCAACAAGAAGGAGTGGGACACGTTCAGCCGGGAGATTCTGTCAAAGAAGAAGTTTCCGGTAAAGCTGACAGAACATTTGCAGCGGGACAAGGTCGAGGTGTTTAACATTTGGTTGCAGAACGGCAAAGACCTTCATGAGTTTCTTGGTCCAATCTTTCATCCCATCAAGTATTCCCCATGAGCATGATTTCAATGAGAACGAAGGGATGTTTGGTTCTAGTGGCTGTCTATTGAAGCATACTGCAAAGAAGTTAGTGTTAAAAAGATGGGGTGTCTATCTCTGAAGAGTTTGGAAGAGATCCCTATGGAACACAAACTGTCAGCTGTTCAGGTGTTATTGCACACATGTTCTATAGAAATTATAGCTCTCAAAAAAAAGGGGGTTCCTATCTTTAAAGCGTTTCGGAAAGGGGCCGGCACACCTCCCAGGGTGGCATTGCACATCGAGCGGAAAGCCCAGACTGTCAACCGTGTTGGTTCCGGCCGTGAAGGCACGAAGTTGCGAGATCTGGAGGCCAAGTACCCCAAGGAGAAGGCACAAAAGCTGGCGGCCCTTCTCAAGAGCCGCGGGCTATGGCATTGGGACCCGGATTTCCCAAATGATGAGGAGGAGTGGAGTTCTGAAATCAATACCCTATATTTGAACATACGAATCAACCTTGTCCACTTGAAACCATATCAGCGCTATTAAGCCAAGCCTTCAAGATGGTATTGTATATTGTGATCCCATACAGCATTTTATTACATTTTAGGTCCTTAGGTCACAGAATTATCTTCTATCTCAATCGCCCTTGAAAGGTTTGATCTTTAATGGTAAAAGTCTTCATTCCTTGGGTTACTTCCTTTCAAGTCTTGACCCCAGGAGATCTACTACTATGCAGGCAAGGGAAAGACCGTTTCCCAGGAGAATGTCACAAAGGAAAGCGTTGCTTTGAAAGGAGTCACCAACCCGGATCAAGCCACCCTGGCAGACTTGACTGGTGAGGCCGGTCCTTTAGCTGCTGGGGCCTTGCCCCATTTGGAAGCTGGCCAAGCCGACGGCGACAAGAACACCTGGGAAGCTGTCACAAGCTCTGCGCTGGCCAAGCGAAAGGCTACCAAGCCCAACACCGAACCAGCTCAGCCAGTTGTTCCCAAAACGTTGGAAGAGAACTGATCTTAGTTTGCTGAATGGATATCATGGACCACAATCTCAACTCCAAAGTATTTCAACTTTTGATCAAGCCTTGGCTTCAAAAACAATCATTACATTTTCAGAGGTGTCCATGGTTCACCAACAAGTCATCAGTAAAGAACTGTATTGAATTTCGGCATTCAAATGAATCATTGTATCCACCCTTATCCAATTCTCTCCACACCAAATTCCAAAGTTGATTTCAATGCAAGCATGGCCTTTTTAGGGTTCAATTTTCATAGAATCAAACAACATCACCCAGGAATGCAAAGGAAGCTATGAAAGAAACACTGACACATGCAGCCGATGCCCGAAAACTTGGATTGAGTTTGAGGGGACTTGAATACAGTGGGGAGCTCACATCCCAGCTTTTGGAATCTTCCAAAAAGTTGGAGAAGGTCCATGCGTTGTTCCAGAATGCTTTGGGGAAGCCTTCGGTCGACAAAGGTCATGTTAAGAAGTTGATGGCTTTGAAAAATCACCAGTGCACAATCTTGGAGAAAGCGAAGGTGGGACTTGTTGATGTTGTGGATTCCCAGACAAACCTTCCCCACTATTAAAAGCCCCACTACAGAGTCTTGATATTGACTTGAACATTCCCTACAACATTTCCAAACAGTGATTGATCTTGGGAATCTACCAGATTGCATCTGTATAAAATTGGTTACAGCGCTTTCCTACAAAACAATTTCGTGTTTTGTTACATGGCCATTTTCTTCCAAATCCCATTTGGTCCACAGGTGGCTGGGCAAGCTATGACCCGTGGATTGAACCCCAAGACCAAGACCAGAGCAAAGGCCAAAGCTAAGAGCGCGGCGGCTCCCAAGCCCTCCGAGCCAACATCGGCACCTGGCGCTGGCGCTGCTGAGAACTGAGCTTCCAAGCCCTGACTGGAGGATCCATGTTTTGATGACTTTGGATCAAATCTTTACTTTTGAATGCTGCTACATGCTGCTACTCAGATCGATTGGGGTCGTTCTTGATTAGCATGAGAGAACCCGAGCAATCCAAATCGCACCGAAAAAAAAGCCACCTGAGCCACCTGGCGCTCCCTGTTGCTGAGTTTAGCCTACTGACAAACAAGCCATGAGGTTATAAACCCAGGCAACATCCCTTTCTATTTTGTTCTTGGTGCCCTGGTGGAGGCCTTGACGCATCGAAGACCAGATCTCTGAAGAGGCTTCCTGGCAAACCAGAAAACCCATGTTTGGACCATGTGGCAATCAATCCCTGGTGGTACCATCATGGGTTGGTAAATGACCCATTTTGAGAATCTTGGACATCACCTTCTAATGGTCATTATAGAAGATAAACCTAATGGCTGGGTGATGTTCAATTAGGACATTTAATGACCCATGACCATTTCTTGAGAGCTGGAATCAGGTTTGAGTTTGGGTTTTTACTTTTTGGGATATCCTTAACGATGGAATCCTTTGCCCAACCACTCGGCAAACTGCCACAGGAGAAGTCGATATGAGAGTCTTCCCCATAGCCATCAAGCAGAAGAGTTTATCCGAGCCATGGTTGCATTGCACCGAGAAGTTAACATTCCAGGTCTTTGCAACTGGTGACAAATGGTCCTTCCAATGTTTCTTAGGTTTGATTGGGTGTGGGAAGACACACATTTCCACTGTGGCAGCACTCGCCCAAGCCCAGAACAAAGATTCCCGGCCTGTTCCAGCAGTGGCTGCATTTGCATCGCTAGGGTCCTACGGGGCCCATGCGTCAAACCAAGAGAGGGATTTGCACCGCTGGCTGCGAAATTTACACGGATCAACCATGGAGTTGTACTACACCGATTTCAAACTGGAGGTAGGTGTCTAAGTTAGATTTCCTTTTAGTGGATGGATGGTTTTCAAAGATCCCTACAAGTCCCCAAAACATGTAAAATACCTTTCTCTGAGGTTTCTGATGCTGCAGCGCCGCAAACTCTTATGATACCAACACTTCTGCCCCATGAGATCTTGCACTCCGTGGCTGCTGCAGGTAGTGAACAGGCTTGGTGTCAGGGAAATTGGTCCACAATTTGTTGAGGGTAATTTGAAAGTATTTCGCAGCTTGGGTTAGCCTTGCATTTTGAATCTGAAATATGTTCCAAAACTTGGGTGAACCCTGCAGTCCAATTTCAAAAACAGGTTTCCAAATTTAGGTGAACTCTCAAGTTTGATTTTAAAAAATGGTTCCATACTTGGTTGAACCTTGCAGTTTAGTATCTCAATGTTGGGAAATATGTTTCAAAACTTGGGTGAACCGTGCAGTCCAATTTCAAAAACACGTTTCCAAATTTAGGTGAACTCTCAAGTTTGATTTTAAAAAATGGTTCCACACTTGGTTGAACCCTGCAGTTTAGTATCTCAATGTTGGGAAATATGTTTCAAAACTTGGGTGAACCGTGCAGTCCAATTTCAAAAACACGTTTCCAAATTTAGGTGAACTCTCAAGTTTGATTTTAAAAAATGGTTCCATACTTGGTTGAACCTTGCAGTTTAGTATCTCAATGTTGGGAAATATGTTCCAAAACTTGGGTGAACCCTGCAGTCCAATTTCAAAAACAGGTTTCCAAATTTAGGTGAACTCTCAAGTTTGATTTTAAAAAATGGTTCCATACTTGGTTGAACCTTGCAGTTTAGTATCTCAATGTTGGGAAATATGTTTCAAAACTTGGGTGAACCGTGCAGTCCAATTTCAAAAACACGTTTCCAAATTTAGGTGAACTCTCAAGTTTGATTTTAAAAAATGGTTCCACACTTGGTTGAACCCTGCAGTTTAGTATCTCGATGTTGGGGCAAAGGAGCCCTTCTGCGTTGGAAGAGTTTTGGTCACACATTCTCCAGATCGATGGCTGGAAGGGGCATGTTGCATTCCAAGATGGAACACTTCCCAAAAACCGTCATGTTCTCAGGTAACTGGTTTTAGTGGCAAATTCAAAGACAATTCAAACAATTTCAAAGGTTGGTGGACTCTCAACACATGGATGCAACAGCCCAGGCACCATACCCTTCACATTTCACGTGGATGGCGCGGAGGTATTCAGAAACACGGAATACTACGTGTGGAGTTGTGGAAGTTTCCTTGCGACTGGTGATGTTTCTAGACTTGTTTTGAGAATAGTTAAGGATCTAAGAAATTTCCACCCATTACCATTTCGTGTCCTAACTTCTCTGGTGCCCTCCAATGTTTCCCAACAGTCATGTCAACATCTTTGAATCTGAGGTGATGGACATCAAATTCCCTTGCGTTATTCTTGGCTACGAGTCCATGAAGAGCAATGACGCTACTGGGCTGCAAGGACCTTGTGTATCAACCCATCTCTGTATGTTGATGTATAAGAAGATCACAACCAATATAAGGCAATATATGTATATATACATATAACAATATATATATATAGCTATATATATATAATGTTTTTAATGTATACATGTAATTATATGTATATCTATGTCCTAAAGGTATCTCCATAATCATATGTGTAAATGTTTTTTTTTGGGTGTGAATGTTAGCACACCAGGTGAGGAGGGAGGTGCATCGAAGAGTATGTGAGCTGTTGGCTTGGTCAATGTCCTATGCCACTGCTGGGGTGTTTCCCATGACCGGCTTTCGCAATGAAGAGTTTGACCCGAAATCCTTTCGATATGTGATGAGAGGGCAGCCATTGGCACAGGGTTGGAGGCCAATGTGTGTCTGTGTGCGCTATATGGGAAATCAACACATGATACATTTTGGGTATGGTTTTGTATTTTCTGTTCAATAAGGTTCTAGTTTTATATCCTGCCTGGCAGGGCAGCTTACTTCTGTGCTCGGTTTGACGCCAAAGCCCGTGTCGAGTCGAACTTCTTTACTAGGCACTACGGATGCAATCTGATTTGCGAACAATGCATGGCAGCAAAGGTCAGCAAAAACACCGACCCACGCATGACTTACAAGGACTTTAGGCCAAACCTCCCGCGATACTTGACTCGCATCAACCATGAGACTTACATGAGAACAACACCTGCTGCTTTCCTGCCCCCTTGGAGAGTTTTGCCGGGATGGTCGTTGGAGTCATGTTTGCATGACATGATGCATGTGGTTTACCTGGGCACGGCAAGAGATTTGATACCATCTCTTTTGGGGGATTTCTTGGAGTGTGGGGTGCTGGGGTCACCTGACCTATCTGTGGATTACCGCTTGAAACTCTTCAGCATCGAAATGAACAGATTCTTCACAAAGGAACGGCTTTTTGGACAGTTTTCCATGCAAAGCGATTTCCATGTTTATCTTTTATTTTTGTGACATTTGGGGATGAACCCAAAGGAATTTTGTTTCCAATTATGATTTTTGGGGGTCTTAGGTTTGGTGTCCGGAAGATGCACTTCACGGCAAAGAACACAGGCCTCTCAACAAACACTGACTTCCCTGAATTGGGTCGAGCATGGAAAGCAGCTCACATCAAAGTGGTACTTGGATATATGGCCCTTAAAGTCGTTGAATTTGCAACTCAAACTGGCGAACCTTACGCTTGAGTGGTCTCCAAATTGTTTTCTTTGGACCATCATCTACAAAGGTTCTTAGAATTAAAAGAATTATCCAACCCCTCCTTGTTTTTTGCCATGCGCATCCCCAAACTCAGGAACACAGACTTCAAGGCGGAGCTCTATGCATCTGGGCTTTGGGGGAGGCCATCCACCTGATGGATATCAACGATGTGATTCTGCCAAACATGGTAGCGACTGAAATGAGAGATTTCTTGCAGGAGCATTTACTGCATTGGCAGGGGATGTCTCAAGAGTGTACAGCTAGGTCTGTCAAACGGTGGAAGCTCCGGCCGAAACACCATTCCTTAGAGGAAATTTCTCTCTTTGTCTACTGTACCAAAATCAACCCTCGTTTCACTTCCTGTTTTCAGGATGAAAGTTACCTTGGATCTCTCAAGAGAATCGGGGTGAAATGCCATGAGGCCACAATGCTTACTAGAATTTACCAGCGTTTGATGATGTTGTTAAGTCAGCGCTGGGAAGACACCAGAAAGCATGCCCGGCATGCCGGACAGTCCTGAAGGAGTCGCCAAATAGTTTGCGTCCATGGCTTGCGCTACGCAGTTCAGCGGCCCTAAAGAGAAGGAACCCTGAAAACTTTAAATACCTGTCTTGGGGTATAAAAAAAAATGATTGGGAAATTTTCTGGCTGGGAAAGCTTCCGATCTCAACCCTGCCTTGGGTGCTGTTTGCCTTTTTGGGAAACCGAATTGCTCTGTTGGTGACCATTGGCCCCCAAATTTGGTATTTGTGAAGATTCTATGACCTATATATATATATATAGATATAGATAGATAGATATAGATAGATAGATATATATATATACATATATATATATATACAGATATATCCAAAGCCAGAGGTAAATAAATCAATGAATATGTAGGGAATGCTATGCATGATATGCATGTACCCAGGAATTTATGTTTATCCGAACGGCCAAACGGTTTCAGCAAGGATGAAACACCCAAAAAAAATAGCTATGTTGCAGCCCAGCGCTGCTAAAAGGCTCTGTCTCTGTCTTTGTCTCTTGTCATCTGTCTTTTGTCTGTATGTGTGTGTGGTCACTCCATGCATTACATCATGTTTGGTTGGAAAATATGGTCTTCTGATTCTGCCGAGTCCTAGGTAAAGCCAACACCAAAGCAATGTGCACCTCACTGTTTTGCAAATAGTTCTGGGACCATCCCAAACGGTGTTTCCTGCACGTTTTTCCACACATAGAGGCACCAATTATAAACCAGTAGGAAATATACTTTTGAGAGAGAGAGAGAGAGAAGAGAGAAGAGAGAAGAGAGAAGAGAGAAGAGAGAAGAGAGAGAAAGGGAGAAAGGGAGAAAGGGAGAAAGGGAGAAAGGGAGAAGGGAGAAGGGAGAAGGGAGAAGGGAGAATGGAAAAGGGAAAAGGGAAAAGGGAAAAGGGGAAAAGGGAAGGAAAGAGAACAGAAGAGAAGAGAAGAGAAGAGAGGAGAGGAGAGGAGAGGAGAAGAGAAGAGAAGAGTAGAGACAGAAAGAGAGAGAGAGAGAGATAGAGAGAGCGAGAGAGAGAAAAAAAGATATAGAAAGAGGAAAAAAGAGATAGAGAGAGAGAGAAACCCAACCCAACCAAGACATAACAGACATACATTCAGAGATAAATAGCATACAATACAAAATTAATCTTTTACCTCTATCTCTCCACATAAATAAATAACTAAATAAATAAATAATAAATATATACATATATACACACACATATATATATATACACATACTTTTTTCTTTTTAACTCTTGAGCCACGCTACCGCTTCCATTAAATTTAAATGGAAATGTGATTTCCGAGCAGGATGCAGCATCAGTAAAACTGCCTACCTTGGCGCCGCTGCGCTGTTCTGTGCGCACCTCGGCGCCGCCGCGCTCTGTACAGTGAGAGCCTTGGCGCCGCTGCGCTGTTCTGTGCCCACCTCGGCGCCGCCGCGCTCTGTACAGTGAGAACCTTGGTGCCGCTGCGCTGTACACAGTGTGCACCTTGGCGCCGCTGCGCTGTTCTGTGCGCACCTCAGCGCCGCTGCGCTGTTTTGTGCGCACCTCGGCGCCGCTGCGCTTTGTACAGTGAGAGCCTTGGCGCCGCTGCGCTGTATGCAGGGCGCACTTTGGCGCCGCTGCGCTCCAGCGTTTGGAGCGTATATATCCGAAAGATGCTTTTAGTATGCATTAGTGTTGCAAAATGGTGCTTCTGTTTGGCTTTTGGACAATATTGTCACCATTGCTTATATAACACCTGCATGTAATAAAACGAACCACCGGCATCTTGCATTCATGCATGCCATGCAATTCAGTTTGCTCGCTGTATGTGCTGCATGCATTAATGTGTACGAAATACTATGTTTACTAGTTTGCAAAATGCCGAGAGCATTTCCTACAAACGACAACTTTGTGGCGCTAAGTTGTCGTTTGTTGCCGAACATGTCCTTTGTGCAACTTTGGATCCTCACGGCACATCTCGGCCTGTGCCGTCGTCAGCCACCAAAACTTGGTGAGCTCCAGCGTTCTTGGTCGCCTCAACCACCGCCTCAGCAAACCCAGGCGGATAAACGCCTGACCATTTGGTATCTTTGCCCTGTACTCGGGCATGTTCGTGTTGCAAGCACTTGTTTGAAACTCGGATCTGTTGCCATCAGCTTGATGCTCTTCTTCAAGGCCATGCCCGGGTGAGCTATCGACTCCAGACCAAAAGCGCACATGTGGAGGACAAAACTCTCCACCTGGTTGTCACGAGCCCACCTTGCCAAAATGGGGTGAAGCCAAATGTCAGAAGTGGCTGGGTTCTCAACCACGACATGCCCTCCATTCATGCGCTGGATCAAGAAGACCTCGTCAATGAATTCCAGAAAGACCTTCTCCCGGCGACGGATGCGCCGCCGCTCTTGCTTGGTGTGGTTCAGCCTGGAAAATGCGCACCACGCCGTGCACGGCGGGGCCAGCCAAACCACTTTTGGCCTTCTTTGCCGTACTTCCTCCAAGATGTTGGCCCGCACCTCAGGGTCGCGTAGATCATCTCCGTACCTGATGTCTCGAGGGCGCAGGACCCCCAAGCCATGAGCAGCAAAAGCGCCAGAGATTTCCGCTTCGCCGGCAAACACCTCAAGGCAGTGAACTCTGCCCTCTCCGCCAAAGCCAGTTGCCATCCACAAGTCTTGAACCGGCTCCACAAAGACCTCCTCCGCAAAGCTACCAATTGCGCCAGCGCATGCCATCAACACCAAGCTAAGCTGCCGTCCCATGTGCTGCAGCTTCTTCCTCGTGGATGAATTGATCTTCCTCTTTTGCATGCCCCTGCGAGCTCTCTCCTTGGGACTCACCACCTCACCACTGTCGCTGTCGCCACAAGCCGCATCGGCCATGAAGATGTTCCCCAGCATCTGGGCGCCATACCCGCGCCAGTCCCTGCCAGGCCCATCATCGCACTTGTCGCCGTCATCGCTCACCAAGTCATTCGCAGCCTCATAGTTGCCGGATCCACCACCAATGCCCAGCCCGACTGTCGCCGCATTCTCAACGACATGCTTACCAAGCCCGATTGTCGCTTTATACTCAAGGACGTCGTCATACTTTAGCTTGCCAAGCCCGACGTCCTTGCCCTCTACAAAAACCTTGCCCTCGACAGTCTCAATGGTTGGTGTTCTTCCTTCCTTCACTCGCGGGGAATGTCCCCGGGCGAAGCTGGCGGCGATCGGCCGCTCACTCGGTACTTCTGCTTCACCAACGCGATCTCGGTCTCCAGCCTCAGCAGTTCCGCTTGTGCCTCCTCCGGCAACTCCGCATCCATTGCCGACATCCCTGATTCCGTCTCGGACGATGCCCTCTTCGGAGTTCCCCTTGAAGACACCCGCGACCAGCTGCTGCATGGCGCGGAAGATGCCACCACCTTTGGGACTGGAGTGATCGCCTTGGCCTCCGGGTCCATGTTGTAGGGAACTGCCCCGCACCTCTGTGCATATGTCGACTGCTTCGCCAGCTCCCCCTTCGCCCATGCGGCAAAGTGGCAGAGGTCGTCCCCCGCCGTGTCGTTCGCCTCCGACTCCAAGACTGCCCAGCGGAGGTATTCCACAGGCACCTCCTTGTACATCCATGACTTGTACTTGCCGAAGTTCATCACCTGGTCCCCGCTCGGCTGCGAGGCATGACGCAGCATCTTGATGAGGAGCCCCCGTGTGGCTTTCGTGGGCACTTTCAAACTGTGTTCCGTGCACTTGGCCTTGAGCTCGTCCAGTGTCATGCGCCCCAAGCCCTTGATTGCCGTCTCCTCTTCCCCCGTTCTCTGCTGGCGGTGCTCGATCACCGTCTGCCTGAGCTCTGGGAGAGTCCACCTTGGGTGGATGGGAATCTGCAATGCATCCAGCTCGCGGATCAACTCCGCCTTGTTCATGCGCCATGGTGAAGTCGGCACCGCTGACATGGTCTGGCAGCTTGGGCTGCCAACGTCGGGGAGAGCTAGTTGATCTTGGTTTCTGAAAACGGCTACGTCCAATCCATAGTCCACCAGCATGCTTGAAGTGCGATTCGTTGCGTTCTGCATTCCAATCGCTGACTAACCGAACATGTTGAAGACCTTCTGAATGACATGGTATGAGGTCAGTGATTCTCTCGCTTCCAATCATGTCCAACAAACGACCTTTCAGATCTTGCAAAGTTGTATTCCAAAATGAAGGATTGAATGCTTCTTTTCGGGGGACCACATGTACTCTGATCATTTCATTCGAGTTCTCCACCCAAAAATCTCTGCTTTGGTTCGCGCTCTTCCACCACATGAAAAAGGATGAAGGAGAAAGATCAGGATCTTGAAGCATGTTGTTCACAGTTGTTGAAATCTTCTTTGGAAAAAAATAATGGTCTAAAACTTTGTGCACTCCCGCCCCCTGCATGAATCGGCTCAGCCATGTATTGCTCGACCACAGAGCTGTCACAGAGTTGGACCTCCGGATTGCCGCTCCAACGGAACTCAGATCCGTAGCTTGCCCTGTCACCAATGTCAGTGACCACAAAAGCAGGGTGTCCAGTTTCTGACACGGCCATCTCTAAATCAAAAAGCCCTAAATGTGTCAAATCTGCCCTTTGAGCTCCTACACGGTAAACCATGCCAAGCTTTGCAAGAACTGTGCGGCTAAACAAAAGTGGGACCCTGCATTGGACTATGGCTACCTTCACACGGATCCACTTGCCGCCCACTCCGAAGATGGCCCAAAGTGCAAACATGGAAGGGTGGATTCTCGATGCACCAAACTTGAACTGATCCTTCTCCTCGACTATCTCGATGGGAAGCCCACGATCGTCTGCCCAACGACAATAGTCTTCATACCATTGATGTCCTGCCACCGTCTTCGTGCAGGCTGTGTCTGCAATGGCCAGCGCGCAGGGTCTCTCACCTCCCCCGACACGCTGGCCACCATCACCAGCATCGCCCGCCATGAAGACCACGGTCTCGCACTCGCCATAGGTCTCTTCAGGAGTGTCCACATAGGCAGTCATATAGCACATCTGCACGTGGTGGGTGCACATCTGCGCACTCTTCGCACCCTCAGCCGTGGCACTGCTCCGCGAAGTTCCTTTCAAAGGGCATTCGGGATCTCGGTGCCAATGCCCCTTTCGCTTGCATGCTGAGCAGTAGCTGCGCGCCTTTGCAAGGCGCAATCTTTCTTCGCTCCTCTTCTTCATCTCTTCCCGGTCCATGCCTCTGCCCTTCATTGCCTCACGATAGCGAGACTTCGCATCCTGGAAAGCCATGAATGCACTATGTAGTCCCGATGCCACCTCTTCTTCAACCAGCTCCGCATCGGACTCTTCCTTGTCGTCCAATGCACCGCCAGCATCTCCATCGTGCTCATCGCTCCAGGCATCATCTCCAGCGGCCGTCACATGCGCTGATTGCTGCTTCCAACGCCCCCCATTGCCAGGGCGTTCCCACGATCGTCGTGCGACGCCACGATCATGGATGATGGCTGCCTGCTGCAGGCAACGAAGGTCGTACTGGTTGTTCACAGATGCTAAGAGTGCCAGCTCGTCGCTCTCCCCCAACTTGAGACGGTCGAGGTAGAGCCAAGCTTTGACAAGAGCTGGCAATTCGCAGTTCAGCTCTCCAAGGCGCAACAACAAGCGCTCAAACTCCATGTTGAAGTCCCTCACCGCCTGCTCTGGCTTGCGGCGGCACTTCTTGAAGAGCTCCGTCATGACTGATGCCACTTTGTTCACTTCCATTTCCATGAAGCGGATTCTGACCCACTCCAAGTAGTACTCAACACCTCCATTGGCCCCAAGTCGATCCAAGTCCAGCTCCTCCGCAAAGACCCAAGCCCGGCCCTTGAGGTGGGTGTAGAGCGCCAAGCCACGCTCGCGCTCTGGGAGCTTGGTGCACCGCAGCCATGCCCCAACCTTCCTCAAGTATGAGCGAGCGGTGGTGCCCAGCTCATTTTCGCCACCATCGCCATCGAACTCAGGGACCACCATCTTCTCCGTCGGCTTGCCCGAAGCACCATCGTCTCCGGTCCGCCATGATTCACCCGCCGGGGTGCTACTGCCTCCAACCCAGCGGCCATCCAACGCCCAAGTGGTCTCTTCAACCCGGGCCACCTTCTCATCTCGCCTCGGCTCCCAGTCGTGGCGCCAGTCATCCCAATGCCAGCTCCACCAACCACCATAGTGACGGTCGCCCCACCAACTCCCCGGAGTCTCATGCGACCATACACCCCAGTGCTCGCTCTCACCCTGCTCATCATCATTCCTACCATCCAAAGCCTCAGGCCGTGGTCTCTCACGGTCAGGCTCACTCTCTTCATGTTCTTCAGCAACGTCGCCATCGGCTCTATGACCCCCGCTCGCCACGGGGCTAGGACCAGCTGGTTCCTGCCCACTCCCCCGAGCACGGGTCCTGCCACTCGCCCATTGCTGGACCATGTGATGCCGTCTAAGGTGTCAAGCAGGTCTAAGGGGTAAATGATGAAGTTGGGTAGCCTAAGAAGACGTGAAGGTCACCGTAGAAGTCCGCAGGAACGTGCCTGCTCCGCCTACCAATGTCGAAGTCACAGCACCGCAAATGCCATGTGCCCACCTTTTCTACCTGAAAGTCAAAAGCTGCCTTGTGCCTGAATAGCAGCCAGTCAGGTCAATTGGCTGATGAAATGTTGTGAAAATGGTTGCACCAATATGTGTGCATGGTAAACACGAATTGCATTCACAGGAATAAATAATGAACATTAAAAAACATATTGTTGGTGAATGGATATTTAAAAAACTTGTAAATATATAATACATATATATATGTTATTTATTATTAACTACTATCCAACAACGATTTCTTCCAAAACCCCCGAAGCCGATTCACGTTGCTTGGCGCGCCTCGCACTGAGCCGATGCACCGGACCTGCATGAAGTGGATCCCGACCATTGACGCACCTTTCAAAAGGGACCATAGAATGCAGGTGTTGTCCCACTAAATGTGGGGACTTTGTCCATTCACATAAATGTTAAGCCTCTAAGTAGGTCTAGTTCTTTTAGTAAGTAGGTTGCTGGCTTTGTAAGCGGCTTGTGAAATGATCTTAAGGACTTACTCTACTCACTCAGCTGACCTTATGATTCTTACTCTCGCATGATATAATCAAAGTATACCAATGTGTCAACACAGATCTGGACCTGTGATACCTACGCCATGTCAAGGCCAGTATATAGTAGGCCATGATAGTTGTCCATTGATCAGGGAAGTGCTAGTGCTACAACTTCATAGAATTTGCAGTTGGAACGTGATACATAGTCTGAACATAGTGCAAAATTTGAGTAGGTTCCTAGATGTTCCAAAAAATAATGAAATTTCAATGATTTTTCTGCATACCGCTTTTTGACGGAAGGTTTCATCGCGCTTCATCATCCATGTTTTTTCAAAACTGTCCCATTTTTTTGGAAAACTAAATCCAATACTTTAAAGACATCCACATAGACAATTTTTTTTGGAAAAAAAAACATATATCCAAGGACTTAGACCATCGAATCTAAATCTTCAAGAAATGGGTTTGCCAAAAATAGGGTAGTAAGCATTATCCCATACCATCTCAAATATTCCATAGTCCATGAGTCCACACTATATCACCATCCAATAATTATGTTTTTTCTTCAAATCCATGGTTTAAGCACAATTGTTCACCATGATTTACAGTGAAATAAACCCATTCTACTTACATAGATGGGCCGTGGGATTGGTCATTCCTGATTAGTTCTTGTGGCTTACCCACGAACTGTCCGAACTATAATCCATTCACTAGTTAGTTAACTAATTTTATGGCCCATCTTAAGTAGAACAGCCAGCTACATATGGTGGTTTCCTAAAATGGGGGGTACCCCAAATAATCCATTTCAATAGGATTATCCATTATAAACCATCCAGCTATTGGGATACCCACATTGATGGAACCCCCATATAGTCATCCTGAAGCATGTCGATTATGGATGTTTATCTGTTGGATAGTTCGATCCTGAAGTCATCTTGGAGTATTGAGTAGATAGAACATGGACATGTCAACAGAAACATCATTTGTTGCTGGGAATCTCTTCGAAAATCCCACATTCATCCCATAGTTTATATATTTCAGGATGCCTAAACCATCCTGAAACCATCCTAAAACCTACATAAATCCCATTAAAAACCCATCATTTTTCCTGCTGATATCCCCCAATTTATCCCCATGACCTCAACCTCCTCCGTGCGCTGCGGCCGAAGGCGTCCTTGATTTCACCACGTTTTTTGGAGTTCAACAAGTAGGACAGGGATATATATATATATATATATATGTATATATATATACATACAATATACATGTAAGTATGTCTATGATTGGATAACGCAATAATTGAATATCATTGAACGAATATGTATATAGGAACCCCCAACAAGATAGACAAGTAAATCATCACTATGCTATGCATTTACATTTTCTCGGGAAATTGATAATTACTGTATAGTATATATGCATTTGCTACATATATATATATATATACACGTAAATTTGTACAATATATTCAACCATCTGCTGGTGAAAAATGGTGGTCTAAATAGGTTTGACATCATATGTTAGGTGATATAATTATAGCCAACTGGATGTTATGTTAAACTGGTTTGTCTGAAAATAAGAATTTATCCTGACTACATGCCGATTTGCATAAAACCATTAATAATTACAGTAGTAAATTAGTTTTTGGGCTCCCCATGTTTCATTTTATAAAGAAATTATGTATGTGTTGTGGCTTGCACAACAGAACCCTGCCCTACCTGGTTGGTATCATCCATATGCGATGAATCTATTGCAAATGAACCACTTAAAAAGGCCACTGAAATTGCAGAAAAAATGACAAGAACCATGTTTTCCACCAACAAATATGATAAAGTTAGGGAAAACAAATCAATGATAACCAAACTTAGGGATTTCCATACGTTTTTTCTCTTCACATATATCTGTCACTTCCCGGCACGTCCACCCGGTCCTGGGTCAATGCTTGGCGACAGGAGAAGCAAACTTCTGCCGTGCGCCGGCGATGTGGTGTTGCAGGATGGGGCCCCCTAGTGATGTTTGTTGGTTTATAAACCATTATAGCCCCCATGAACTAGTTCCTTATATCTACCATAGACATCCATAAACCATAGAATTGTTTGCCACTTATAAGGCAACTGAACGCTATCTTGGGGCCCCATCCTGTGGGACATTGTTTTTTTCAACATATATATATATATATGTATATATATATATATGGGGATTTCCACACATTGGGGTATCCAAAAATGGAAATCCCATTAAAATGGATGATTGGGGGTACCCCGAATTCAGGAAGCCACCATATAATATATATATATATATATGTATTTATATTTGGGATATTGTCTGCAGATATGTTTGGGGATATGCTTCGGATATCATCATGGGCTTTCGCGCACCAGAAACTGGGATTTCCCATGATTCAGTCAGCCAACATTTTAGTGGTCCTACTATCAACAATCGGGGATATCAATATGTTTATCTTTAGACATATACAACTGGGGCATCCCGAATTAAAATAGGTTAATTAACTAAGAATCATGCAATTGGCTTGAGTTTCTCTTTACTGACACCATTTCTGGATCCCAAAGTTTAAAGAAGGAATTAAACATGCAAAACACATGCAAAACATACAAAAGTAAATGGGATCAAATAGGCTGGTGTCACACTTGTTTTTTCCATGTCGCTTGCCATATCTAGGCGAGCAGTATCCTGAATCATGTGTTGTCCGCTTCTATCACTCAGCTCATTTATTTGGCCCCTGAGAAGTCAACCATCTGGTCGGAAAGTGCGGGTGCAATCGTTTGAGGTCAATTGTCTGATTCCTAATATCCGGCCTCAATTGACAATATACAGTGTATTCAACATATTCATCATATTCAACATATATTCTGCCGGCCTGAAATTCTGTTATTTTGGGACCCAGGAAAAGACGCTGCTAGGAGCGGCAGCGTCTCATTGACACCGTGACACGGTGATCTGATCAGGGGGGGAGTTACTTTAGCATACTTTAGCAAAAAACCCTAGCAGTAACTGCAGCACCATTTTTTTTGATATTGAGGGTTCCATGTGGGTACGGTGCTAAAGTTGGAGACCGCATCTCAAAAAAAAGATGGTCATGTGTCTCCGTTTGCCTGCAGTGCCACTTCACCGACCCCTTTTTACCACCCACGGGATAGTCCCCCGGCTTGAACGAATCGTGATTCATTTTCACCCATCCAACTGTAGAATATAGACCAAAGATCATTTACCTACTAGTAAGGTCATTTATATACTATACAAGTACTATATATACCTGGAGAATGTCCCGCCTTTTGCCATATACAAAGTGTATCACATGTTTGGTTCATGATGTTCCCAGCTCCAAAGCTCCCATTGTTAACCCATCATCCACTGGTCATCCACTATTGGGCATGATTAATGAATCATTATGAACCAATATTAACCACTATTATTAATATGAATTCATCATTATGGGTTATTAACCATTATTAATTAAGCCATTATTAAGCCATCGTTTATCCTTTGGGAATGACATATGACCGGCCCATTAGACCCCCCGGGCTCGTCCTGCCACCAGCGGCTTGGGCAAGACGCGCAGGGCTTTGTCCGTGAGCCAGCCACGAGGTTCACCACCTGGCGAACAAGTTGATGTGTCAGGCTATGGGTTTTCTATAATTCTCATGGTGAAAGCCGAAAGTTCACTTGGAGCATTTGTTTTTTTTTTGAAAGTTGATGTGTATTATAATTCCCTAATGCTCCAAGTGCCCTCTGAGAAGGCGTTTAGGCCCCATAAACCATCAAATACAGTCTCAGAAGGTGTTTGGAGCCCTAGGGATTATTCTAATCCAGCCAGATTCTTATACTATAATATTAATATAATATTAATAACATTATACTTTTCTTATCAAAGAACAAAGATCACATAGAATAAGAATGGGGGGTACCCCCCAAAAAATAATCCAAGTCATTAGAGCATGAAATCATACTCAAACCGTGACTGGGTGACGACTGGGAATCCACCATAGAATAAGTACACAGCTGGACAGGGACTGTTGAGTCCTGACATATACCTGAAGATATTGAAATATATTGAATCTAAAACCCAAATAAACCCAAAGGGTTTGCCCAAGGGGATCCCTGCTTCCAAGAATTCATTGGAGAAACAGGCCACTGTTCATTTTTCCTTGCTGTCTGTCATCCCCACAGCTGGCCAAATACTTAATACGTTGGTCGATTTCTTGAACACTGGAAGTCTCAACTCATCTCAAGATATCCACGGGACAAATCCAATCTTTGATTTCGCACCCTGGTTGGTGGTTTTAACATGTTTTAACCATCTTGAAAAATATGAGTTCGTCAATGGAAAGGATGACATCCCATATATGAAATGGAACATCAAAAATTCCATGGTTCCAGTCACCACCAACCAGCACCGCTGCCTATCAGCATGGATCCCCCAGCGTCTTGCTCCACCCAAACCTGCCGTTGGGAACTGGGGAACCGTGAAAAGCGACTCCGGCTGGGGAAAACATGTTCCAAGCACCAAAGGCTTGATATACCAACTGTGACCCCCGGTGTTTGAGGCTGAAATCTAAGTTTTCTTCATCAATTCCCTGTTTGGCTGTTTGATGTACCGCTCTTCAAGTTGGCGAAGCAGTTGGAGCACATTGAACTACCAAGAAAAAAGGTGTCAATCAAGATGTGTCAAGGAATCCACAAGCAAAACCAATAGAGAGAATGATCCATTCAGGAGCGTTCAATGCAAGGCAGTAAGGCAATGACTAACATTCAGTTGGACAACCAAAGCACTATGGATCTTAATATAAGGCATGGGTCATGTGTTTGCCTATGCTGATAAAGTTAT